CGACAGTACACAAGTTTTAGGCCGAGTGATAATCATTTTATGTGGTTGCTATTGTTAGTTTGTGTAATAAGTAATAGAGAGACAAAAAATCGTATGGTTGATGAAAATGTGTGTAGTTGGACATTAATAATTCCGACAAAACTGATTTTGATTCGATGCCTATGACTTCTGTGATGAAAATTTATAAATTCGACAATTTTTTGGCGTTGAGCAATTCTGAGACGTCAAAATTTCGTGGCTTTATTGATCAACTGCAAAGGCTAGAGCATAACCAAAAAAAAGTAAACCGGGAGATCAAAACCAAAGAACCAATGAGATACATTGTGTTCCCAATACAATACAAAAAATAAAAATAAAAATTAAACAGTAAACATGTACCGAACCGAATTAAATTTCACGCGGAATTTAAGACATCAAGCTGAACCGTGCCTTTTTGCATGGGAAAGACCGGTTTAACTTCCCCGAACCCAACTCCGAACCACCAGAGATCCAGTTTCCGGTTCTTGAATGCCTGATATTATTATTATCAACGACCGGTCTTTGACCAGACACTCGAACCGGAGGGTTTCTCCATTTCGGAACCCGGCCGGTTCTGATCAGTGACTCAAGCACCTGTCCAGCTTCATTCACAGCTTGCAAAAACTTACCGTTCTCCGGCAACACTCCTCCGTGTCCGATCGTCTCCAGCACGATAGTCTCAAAATCTTTCCCGTTCTGTCCATCAAACCCCATCTGATTCGATGAGTAGCTGTGAGAACCAGCATCGGAGATCGCCGGCGAGGAAATACCAGCTGGATCCGAGACAACAACTTCCAGCGGCGATGCGACGAAGAATGGCGACTGAGATTCGCCGGAGATGTGATGACGGTTAGTTTCCTCCATGGGATAATAATAATGGGATACTTGTTGTCCGTCTAACAACAAAATGTTGTTGATGAGTTTCTGTAGTTGAGCGACTTCGGCGAGTAAGTATCGAACACGTTCGCTTGCTTCGTCTCTTTCTCGGACAGTAGCTGCCAACAGAATAGACAACTCTTGCAGAATTTCTTGGTGCATCTTTTCTGTTTATCGAGAAAATTTCCCTGTCCAAAGTAAAAAACATTTTTAATGATCTAATTCGTTTTTTGAGATACATAGTAAGAAGAAGAAGAAAAATCACATACCTCAAAAGTTAGATCTTCCACGCCAAACCATCCGTGAAGTTGAATCGACGAACGACGAAGAGGATTAAGAAAAGTGGGGTTTGTAATGTATACGAAGGAAGCTAAAATGTACAATTAATTAGCATTTCTGTAAATAAAACACCCAGTCTTTATAATAAGGGATTTTCTTCTACTAGGCATAATCAACTTATGGAAACAAAATGTTTTCTCAGAGTTAAAATATATTTTATACACGGATCGTCAATTTCTAGTTAAGGAAGTTCATTAAGTAAATGGAAAATTGAATATACGGTTGCGTTAAAACATTCCATATGCGAAAGTGACGATAAGAACAAAACTTTCCATGCTAGAGTAAGGAAAAAAGAAAAATATTCTCCATTGAAAAAGAAAAACCAATAATGAGCAGAAAGACAAATGACGTGGTTTTTCCGGTGTATGTAACGGACCCGTCTGGTATACATCGGAAAATATTTTGATTAAGCATAGACCGGAATAAACCTCCGTAAATGATTACAGTAAACCAAAGAAAAAGAAAAACCGGTTATCAAGTCCAGATAACCAACAACAAATAAACAGAATTTTTTTTCTTCTTGAGTTCTGACACAGTTGACTGATTTTGATTTGAAATTCCAGTAAACCGGTGCGACCCAAATTGCAGACTTCAGAGGTCGGAGAAGGAAAAAAGCTGAAGCATCAATGGAGATAGCCGCCGCGAGTAGTGTCACTGTTGCGCCGCAATCACGGCGATTGTCACATGCCTCCTCCAGAAACATTGGATCTGTATCTTCTCTTCGATTCGATCTCTTCGGGAGAAACTTTTCCGTCAGGAATCCTAGTCTTCGCGTGTCAGCATCCTCAATGAGCGCCTTCGCCGCCGAGAAATTCTCGCCGGAGAGCTTCCTCGATAAAAGAGAAAGCGGAATTCTTCATTTCGTCAAGTATCACGGCCTTGGAAACGATTTCATTCTGGTACGCCAGTTACTTTCCTCCTGTTTCGTTCCCGATAAAATTTCCTGGACTCCATAGTAATCGAGAAATTTTGTGATTTGGAGAATTAGGTAGATAATAGGGATTCATCGGAACCTAAGATCACACAAGAGCAAGCTGTGAGGCTGTGTGATCGAAACTTCGGTGTTGGCGCCGATGGAGTCATATTTGCGATGCCAGGCGTTAATGGCACCGATTACACAATGCGGATATTCAATTCTGATGGTAGTGAACCAGAGGTAAACCCCTCTCTGTTGATTCACTGTGTTGATTGGTCGAATAAGTTCGGATTTGAAAAGCTATAAAGCCTTTTCTGTTTTTGGTTAGATGTGTGGCAATGGAGTTCGATGCTTCGCCAGATTCATTGCTGAGATTGAGAACCTACAGGGGAAGCATAGGTATAGATAAATAGCTTTATCAGGAATTTATGTGAAGAGGCTTCTATATATCTTGTTCCTATGAGACTCATGTTTTCTTTTTAATGGCAGTTTTACAATACATACTGGTGCAGGCTTGATTATTCCAAAAATTCAAGATGATGGGCAGGTGAATTAAAACAACCTGCTTTCTTTCAGTAGAGGATTTTTTTTTTTTTTTTTTTTCATTGTTTGAGATTATGATAATGGGTATAGGTTATGGTTGATATGGGAGAGCCGATCCTAAGAGCGGAGGATGTGCCTACGAGATTGGCAGGGAACAAAGGTGAGTCTGTTGTTGCGGCGGAGTTATTAGTAGATGGAGTGAGCTGGAATGTGACATGTGTAAGCATGGGCAACCCTCACTGTATCACATTTGGAACTAAGGGTGGTGAGGTTCGTGTTTGCTTCTCTTTTGGTACAATTTTGTAAAGGAGATTCTGTTGTGGTGAGATCGAGTTTTGTGATTTTCTGTTTTTGTTGCATCGTGCCAGAATCTGAGAGTTGATGAATTGAAGTTGTCAGAGATTGGTCCCAAGTTTGAGAACCATGAGATGTTCCCAGCTCGAACTAACACAGGTTGGTGGATGTTACATACTCAGCAATATATCTGTGGCATTTTCTGGTCTCACACCTCTTAAATACTTTATCTGCAGAATTCGTGGAAGTCTTGTCACGTTCACATTTAAAAATGCGCGTCTGGGAGCGTGGCGCAGGTTAGCTAAGCTTCCGGAATCCTCAAAATCTATTTCTTTAGTCAAAAATCAACAATCTCTATGTATCCTTATTTACATGCTTAGCGTGCGTTGAAACTGCAGGAGCAACTTTGGCCTGTGGAACTGGAGCTTGTGCTCTGGTTGTCGCAGCAGTCCTTGAAGGTCGAACAGAGAGAGTAAGTTTGGAAATTTCTTGCATTTTAAGTATAATCTGCAAAACTAAATATATCAAGTAGCTAGCAATTAAATTAAAAAGCATGGGTTGTGTCAAATGAAACTAGTATTTTGGCTTAATAAGCAGCATTATCTCAAAAGCATGGGATTTCTTGTAAGATAAGAGGATGAGTTCAAGCTCTTAATCTCTGTTTGTGGGTGGAACAGAAATGCACGGTGGATCTACCGGGTGGGCCGTTGGAGATAGAGTGGAAAGAGGAAGACAATCACATCTACATGACGGGTCCTGCGGAATTGGTGTTCTACGGATCAGCGTTACTCTAATGAGGTAGCTTTTGTATTGTTGTGATCATTCAGTCTTTTTCATTGTGTTGTTTTCTTACATAGAAACTGAGAGAGATCTCATGTAACATTTGATGCACTTCGCTTTTGTTCGGTATAAACACAATAACGGTTTTTGTGTGTGTGTGTGCGCTTTCTGTCGTCAAACCATGGATGGGTTTTAGTAGAATCCAATAGAATGCAAAGAACTTTCATGAATTAAAATGATCGTGTAGTGACAAATCCATATTATTCAAACTTTAACTTTGTTTTTAAATCCAATGTTATTGAACTTTAAAATGTATTTTCAAAATTCAATGATATTGGATATATTTTAAGAAGTGAATTTTAAAAGATCTGTTATGATTTTATAGTGGTTTGGCGGTATTACTTGTTAAAAATATGATAATTTAAAAATCTCACAGTTTTAGCTGAAATTCTATAATATTTTAATTCAAATCATGAGACTTCTATAATTTACCTAAAATCATCTAAAAAAGCATATCAAATCTTTAAACTTTGATCATATTTTTACATTACAAAACCTAAAAGTTTTACATTACTAAAAAAGCATATCAAAACCTTTAATCATTACAAATCCCAAATCCAAGTTTAATACATCCTGTATACTTGCATAACTTAAAAGTTAAACTAATTGATATTTAAACAAGAACTTACATGATTCGAACTAATAATATCTTGACCGATCATATATTGGTCGCTTTTTTGTTTGTCAAACTTTTGAAATTAAAGGTAGAGTATAGTGCTCTCGAGTAATTCGAATTTGGAACCAGCCGGGCCCACATATTCTCCTCTCGGTGTAATCCCAATCCAATTTCAACGACACTACGCTCCGCTCCGAGCCCAATAAGTAGATTCCACAACGGTTACTTCCTCCAGTTTTTCGAATTTGAAACGAAAAAAAAATCGAGAAAAAAAAAACTTTCCTCTTTCGATCTGAAAAGATCCCTAAAATCTTTTGTGTTCGATTCGATTTTTCCTTTCCAAGCTCCACTGCAAGATTCGGCTTCGTTTCTGTAAGTGAATCTCTTGCTTTCGGGTTTCATGAGGTATTCTGAATTTTTAGCTTTCGCAATTGAATCGTCTTCTTCTTCTCCTTCTTCTCCTTCTCATTTCTCACTTAATTTTGAGTCTGAAACAATTTCAGTTTGAATTCCCACATTGATTTCGATCTAATGATTCTCAGAAACCGAAGATCGATTATGTCGTTTACTCCCGATGTCTCAAGGAAAAGCGGAGTGGGAGTGATCCCATCTCCTGCTCCGTTCTTCACTCCACGCCCCGAGAGAAGACGAACTGACTCCTTCGCTAGCCGCCTCGAAAGAGACAAAGAGGTCAATGTTCAAGTCATTCTCCGATGCAGACCCCTAACCGAAGAGGAGCAGAAATCAAACGTCCCTAGAGTGATCTCTTGTAACGAATTGAGAAAAGAAGCCAATGTTCTTCACAGCGTTGCTAATAAACAAGTCGACCGCGTTTTCACCTTCGACAAGGTTCTAATTTTGGTTATATAATTTGTATTGAAGATTTGGCTTTTTTGCTCGAATGGTGTTAAATAATTTTTGCTTTTTATAGGTTTTTGGTCCAAAAGCACAGCAACGGTCCATATATGAGCAAGCCATTTCACCTATTGTTCATGAAGTCTTGGAAGGTTTTAGCTGCACTGTGTTCGCTTATGGACAAACAGGAACGGGAAAGACTTACACTATGGAAGGTGGAATGAGGAATAAGGTATAAAAAGAGAGCTTCAGAGATTGCTTCTTCTTCTCTGTGTCTCGTTTGATTCAAGCTGTTATCTGATTGCAGGGAGGAGATTTACCTGCGGAGGCAGGGGTGATTCCGAGAGCTGTTCGTCACATTTTCGAGACTCTCGAGGCGCAAAACGCTGATTACAATATGAAAGTGACTTTCTTGGAGCTGTACAATGAGGAAGTTACAGACTTGTTAGCTCAAGATGCTTCTTCTGATGATAATGTTAAGCAGAAGAAGCCTGTTTCTTTGATGGAAGATGGGAAAGGTTGTGTGGTTTTGAGAGGTCTTGAGGAAGAAGTTGTGTACAGCGCTAACGATATCTACGCTCTTCTTGAACGAGGCTCGTCAAAGAGACGCACGGCGGATACTTTGTTGAATAAACGGAGCAGTCGCTCTCATTCGGTGTTTACTATTACGGTCCATATAAAGGAAGAGTCTTTGGGAGATGAAGAGCTGATCAAGTGTGGGAAGCTTAACCTTGTGGATCTTGCTGGATCCGAGAATATCTTGCGGTCAGGGTCTCGGGATGGCCGTGCAAGAGAAGCAGGGGAGATAAACAAGAGCTTGCTTACACTAGGCCGTGTGATTAACGCGCTTGTGGAACATTCTTCTCATATACCTTACAGGCATTGCCCTTGTCCTACAAGTAAATGATAATTTTGTGTGTGTGTGTGTGTGTGTGTTGGAGTGTGATTGTGGATATTTTGTCTTTGCAGGGATAGTAAGCTGACAAGGCTTTTACGGGACTCTTTAGGAGGGAAGACAAAAACTTGTATCATTGCTACAATCTCTCCTTCTGCTCATTCCTTAGAAGAAACCTTAAGCACTTTGGATTATGCATATCGTGCTAAGAACATCAAGAACAAACCCGAGGTTTTGTTTATGCTTATATCATATCTCAAAATTTGATTTTATTAATGTGATCTTTATTTTCATTCTTCTGACTAAACTTTTCTCTGCAGGCAAACCAGAAATTATCTAAGGCTGTGTTGCTTAAAGACCTTTACTTGGAGCTTGAGAGAGTGAAAGAAGGTTTGCATACATAACCTTCTGTCTTTCTTACGTTTAATATGGAATGAGTTAGTCGATTAGCTATAATTTCTGTACAATTGATGCAGATGTAAGAGCGGCAAGGGATAGAAATGGTATTTACATAGCACAGCAACGATATGCAGAAGAAGAAGCTGAAAAGAAGGTATGTTCATGAGGAAGAAACTTAAGTCTATATTCATTTAACGCTCGGATTAACGAAGAGTTTGTTTCAGGCGAGAATCGAGAGGATAGAACAGTTGGAGAATGATTTAAATCTCACTGAAAGTGTACGTATGACTCACCTTTTCTCTTCCATCTGTTAGAATCTGAACTAATGCTCTCGGATGGAACTTAAGTGGCTTCTCTTATGCAGGAAGTTTCCAACTTCCGTGACCTTTACATGACTGAGAAAGAAAAGTTACTGGATGTAGAAAGCGACCTTAAGGACTGCAAGGTGATAAGGACTTCAGTGATTTTACTTTCTTGATTTACTCATGCTTTCAGTGAGAATTTTCTTGAATTGTTTCAAATATTTATGGTCCAGAGAAACCTAGATAGCAAAAACAAGGAGTTGCTTGATCTCAAAGAGAATTACATCCAAGTTATAACAAAGTTAAATGAAAGGGAAGCCATCATCTCCAGAATGAAAGCCTCAGGTAACAATTCTATCTCATGAAATATTTAATGGCTTCCACTTTTGTTGATGCTTGATTGAGGTGATTTGAGCCGGTGGCCGCGGTAAATGCCGTGATTTGGATTGTCGGCCATTTACTTGCTCGCGATCGGCCAAATTTCGCTCCATCGGCCATCTCTTGAATTGTAAGGAATTCATTGTACTGAAATGAAATTTCATCGACCAACCTTATGTTTTGTGGCTCCTTGTGAAGTTTGAGGCGATTTGAACGTGTGGATTCGGAGATCTTTCGTTGTGCGCGCCAATGGCGTGGGATGTGATTCCTTTGGCCATCTTGTATTCTGTTCGATCGTCTCCTTCCTTTCTTCTTCCTTGGTGTTTTTTGGACTCCAGAGGATCAGTTTCCACCGGTGTTCGCGCCTTCTTGAGGTTTTGAGTTCGTCGGCCATTCTATGCATCGCCGTCGGCCGTATTGAGCTTCCTTCGTCTATCTCACGTAGCAGGCACTTTTTCTCGTCCTATCTTTTGGATTTGCCGACCAAAATGATGTTTTGAGGTCGCCTGTGAAGTTTGGTGGACTTCGGTCGTGCCGTTTGGGAGATGGTCGAGCATTGTCGTTTGGTTCGTCGATTCTGGCCGAGAGAGTGATTGTGAATGTGATATCTCCTTTTTTACTCGGGCCAATTGAGTTCTGCTTCGACCGAACTGTTTTTCTATCCCTCCTGGATTGAATTGTGGTTGGATTTCCCTCATCTCTCATGTTTGGCATGTAAATCCTCCTTTGGCCGGTTGTGGCTTCCTTGCGCGCCATGTTTGTATGATATTTTGAACCGGTTTTCCTGTCATGTTTATATCTGAAAAACACTAGTAACTCTTTGTTAAACTCTGTCAATGATTGAGATGCTCAAGTATTTGAACTTCCCAATCAATGACTTGATCGTGACACTACATGTACTTGGATCTTGATCAGAGATCTAAGTAGTGTTCATGTGTGAAATAAGTAGATAATGTTTTTGAGAAATGACATTTGAGAATGGGAGAGATACTTACCTTTGCCTTGTGCAATAGTGTTCCAATGGCCGGATGTTTTGCCGCGGCCCTTCTTGGATTCTTTGCTTCTTGAAACATGGGTGGGACTTGGGTGGGACTCAAACTAGACTCAATACTTGACACTTAGACCAAAGATGGTTGATCCTTGGCCGATTGGTGGCGATGTAGCTTTTCCAATGCATTTTTCATGTAAGCCTCCTTTTTGGTACTTTTTCCTAAAACACTTTTTATTTTATTTTTGTAAAATTTATTAAACTCTCAAAAATTTAAGAGTTATAAATAGAACAAATAAGTAGTTATAAAAATAAAAAAAAAAAAAAAGAGGAAGGGATAAGAAAATGTGGGTTGCCTCCCACAAGCGCTTGTTTTAAGTCTTTGTAGCTCGACTCCTTTGTGTTCTTAGTTAGGTAGGATTGGTGGCTCCAAGAACTTCCTGTTGCCTGATGATTCCAAGTGCATCTTGTCCTGTAGAACTTCCTTGATCAAGTAGCCATGCGACTCTCCTCTTACTTGTGAGCACTCTCCTCCACTTGTGTAGCGAAATCGCTTGGATGAGAAACCGGGAGGTGCAGCATCGTAGAAGGTGTCCTTGTCAACATTGGCTAGAGAGATTCTTCTATTAGGCCAATCCATGATCGCTCCAGCTGTGGCTAGGAATGATCTTCCAAGCAAAAGCTTTAAGTCCTCCGGATCCTTCATGGTTACTACATAGAAGTTGGCTGGAACTATGCAGCCTCCAAAATCAAGCTGAATGTCTTTAACCTCTCCAAGTGGTTCGGTCAATGATGAATCAGCTAGCTGGGTCATGAAGCTTGTGTAGAAACCTAGGTTTAGGCATCCCCTTTCTTGCTTCCTCGTACATCTTTTCCATTTCAGCTAGACTCCAATCTTGTGTCCAAGCTAGGTCTTGCATGAATGGACTCTTGTTGCAAGCATTATCAAACGGCACACCATAAGGGAATCTCCTCGCCATAAAGTTGAAATCATCTATGATCTCTTCAAGTGATGATCTTGTCTTCCTCTTCTCCTTGGTGGGAGGCGGTTGTGAAGACCTTTGAGTAAGGGTTCTTCCTTTTGGTGCTATCTTCTCTCTTGTTCCAGTGGTTAGCCTTGTGGCTCTTTCTTGATCAGCTCTACTTTCTTCTTCATCCCAAATCACTCTTGGGTCGGTCTCTCTTATAGTAAAGACGGCGCGGCATGTTGTGCTTAGGAACGGTCGTCTTTGCTCGGTCAAGACCTTCTCTTCCAAGTTGGCTAAGCGAGTGGTTAAATCCTTGACTTCCTTGGAGACTCCATCTACTTTGTCTTCAAGCCCTCTAGCTCTTCTTTGAATATCTTGGCTCCTCTTGTCTAGAGAGATGTGTAAATCTCGGATTTGTGCCTTCACTTGTTTTTGCCCTTCCACCAATGTAAGCATCGTCGAGTAACATTGCCTCTCCTTTAGGTCACTTCGGCTACCTCCCTCTTAGCTTGATGAGCTACTGCTGTTATTGAATTGAGACTCTTGGTGGTGCCATCGAGGTTGTTATCAAGACTTGTGATCTTCTCATCTAAGTGATTGTCCATCTCCTTGGTAGAAACTTTGGTAAAGTGTATCGCTCTCCTATTGTCTTCAATGGCCTCGCCTTGCTTCTTCAAATCTTCCTCCATGTCCAAGCATCTTGACTCTACTCTCTCTATTTGGGTAGAGAGTTCTCCAAGTCTTCCATCTAGTTCGTATCGCGTGAACTCTAGCTTTGTCTCAATGTCGCGGCTAGTTTTCTTTGGCTCTCCATGAAACCCTCAAGCACGGCATCGAAATGGCTATCTCTCCGCCTATTGAGAACATGGTCGTGGTGTGAATGCAACACTGGTCTAGGTGGTTGATGATAAACCGGAGGTCGGTTTTGATGATGATGGTAATGATGCTCGTCTCGGCTAGGTCCTTCAAACGTCGGATGAGCGCGGTTGGGAGGGAACGGATGTGGCACGATGCTTACGGCTGGGTCTTGGTAACTCCGGCCGTGGAGATCGTGTGGGATCAGTGTCCGGTTCCCAAAGTGGATGTTGGTGTTGTGATTCATCTCCAAGTACCTATAAACACAAGATTTAAAAGAAAAAGTTAGTATTCGAAAATACCAAGATCTAGACTTAGTTTTAAACAAGACTATGCAAGTGTTTATGATGCAATCCCCGGCAACGGCGCCAAAAACTTGATGCGGCATCTATGGGATGAGTACAAGTAATAATTCCCTAAGACAACTAGTGTTGCAAGTGCACAACATATAATTGTAGTATTTAGGGGTCGAACCACAAGGGATTGGATTTCACACATTACATAATCATAGAGTTTAAATGACTAAGCTAAATCAAAAGATGCAAGGGTTTGTGTTTGTTTAGAACACGCAAAAGAAATAACAATGCAATTCTATACAAGCAACATTATTGAACTATTGAAAACTCTTTTGAAAACATGAGCCAAGTCGATTGAAAAGTTTGTTAAAATCCGATTCTTTTGAACTCAAAACACTAAGGAAGGATTATTCCACTTTCGTGGTTCCAATCCCCTATGTCTCTTAAACCAATGGGCTCAGCTTTCGTTGGTCATTGTAGAGTGAGACATGCATTACATCCAAGTAATGATTGTTCACAAAACTCTTTAGGTCTACTTTCGTAGCCTAAAACGATTTGCCCATCAAATATATGTCCGGAGATATAACAAGCTTTTGGAGAGTATATCAACCTAAAATCAAGTCACTAGTTAGCTACTCTAGCAACAAGCATTAAGCATAAATAAAGATGGAGAACCATAGGGTTTCCCCTTTTAACAATCGATTTTCGATGGCCATTATATCACGTCCTCATTGGAAGGATCCATAATTCAACAATGAGTCTTAGATAGTAGATGAAGTCTCATGAATCCTTAGAGAGAGAGGCGGCGGAATATAGACTAAACCACGCCTCACCCTTAGGGAGAAATCTCTACTTCTAGACTATATAAATTGAAACATGCAAGCTATATACAAATGCAAAAGAAGAAAAGAAAGAAGAAGGAGACCACCTAAGTGGCTCCGAACTTTATTGAATAAGTGTTTCTTGTTATGCGGCTGGTGATTCTTATTACAAGAGGCTAAAAGCAAGTATATATAGGTAGAGAGCGGGTCTAGGTCGGCAAAGTTGAGCGCGCGCAGAAGAGGAAAGTTTCCATTTCTCTTTAGCCGCTTGAGCTTGCTCTCCAAGTTCTTGAATGGGCCGCGTTCAGGCCAATGGAAGCTTCTGGATTGAGTTATGCTAGTGTCAAGATGAGCCAAGGCCTTGGGCGCGGTATCTCGGGCCTCTTGATCCATCAAAGTCTCCATGGGCTCTACTTAGGCGCTCGTCGGACATGTCTTGGTAGAAAATAAGTTCCGGTCCAACGAGTGATCCAAATGACCTCTTTCCACTTCGCCGCGGGTCATGACTCAAATATCTATCTTTCCATATAAGAATCATGACTTTTGGACGTCGGGAAGGCATGAATATGCGGTCGTACTTCGGATGCTCCGGTTTGGTCTTTAGCGAGAAATGTAGATTTGGTGCTCTAGACTTGGGAACTTGGTGATTTGACTCTTTTTGCTCCATTTTGGACTCTTCTTTGCTATTTTGACCTGAATGATGCTCAAAACCAGAATATACAAGAAAACTACCTCTTGGGCTAAAAACCACATTATTTGTATTAAAAACATAGTGAAAACCTTGATAAAAACATGAAAGATATGGGTATATCAGCTATCTTAATACGGGTTTGTAAGTCGTGAAGAATCTCCCACGCAGCTGTGTTTCTGTACGGTGATGTTACAGTGTGTCAGTGTCTGATACAATCTGACGGTTGAGATTCTTTTTTGACTTTTTGTGGAGGTTAATTTGGTAAAACGCAGACAGAACCATCTAAAAACACTGCCATCGTGCTCACTTTTTCGACGGTAGAGGTTGTTGACTTCGTTGTTGCTTTGATTGAAAATCTAATGCAGGAAGAAAAAGAGAAGAAGAAGAACACTAGAGGCGGCTGAAAATAGAATCAGGTTTTTGTGTTTTTCGGTTAACTCATTCAGTTCACTTGAACTTAACCGAACAAACCAAGAACCAAACACAAATAAATTATTTTCCGATCGGTTCGCTTCTAACCATAACCAAATTAACCAAATCGTTGTTTGGTTTGGTTTTAGATAACATATTTAATACTTTAATCTAAATTATAATATGTATATCTTATTATATAAAACTGGATGCACGTGATGTGGTTGCGACACGTAGGATTTTTTATAAAATATAGGATCACAACATGTGTCACTTTTAAGATTATGTCCGTTAAGATCGTGACACGTGTATTAGGGGAAAAAAATTATTTTTAAAAAATACTATAAATAGGATAATTAAAAAAACGAAATTTTATTTATTTTATAAAAAAAGAAAAATTAATATTTGTCATATCCTAACAGAAAAAGGTTTTCCCATTCATCAAATTTATATTATCCAAACACATATTAATTTATAAAATAAGATTGAAAATAATGTAATAAACAAAATCCTATTACTACATGGAATAGGTACGTAAACTAAAATTCCTATATCTGCAAGGAATATGTTATATGAACACCTATAAATACAAAGTTACAGTAGTCTCTTTTTTCTCATTCACAAACTCATCAAAGCAAATTTATTAAATTTCTCTGATTCTCTTTCTCTAATTTAAAAATCATGTCTTTGAATGTTCAAGAAAACAGTGAAGATTATTTGACTCTAGGTCAATTGGATCGAAATCGAAATTATCGCCGTACTATAGTATGTGTTATTCGAAAGTGGGGAGTTAGAAATCCAAAAGAAAATAATATTCTTATGGGAGTTGAGCTTCTACTACTTGATAAAAAGGTTAGTAAGAAAAGATATAATTTACAATAAATTGTTACATCCTTTAAGAAACGGAAAAAAACATATTCCCAATACAAGAAGGAAAAAAATATATATAATAAGTTACACCCTTCATGATTTAATTGTGTGCTTTTATATTTTGTTTAAATTTTCTTTCTTATTAAGAAATGAAAAATCATGTCTTTAAAAGTTCTAGATATCAATGAAGAATATTTAATTTTAGATCAGTTGGATCAAAATCAAAACTACTGTCGCACCATGTATAATATTTGATCAGATTATAACATGTGTTAACACAAGAAAATTAGAAAAATTTAATAACAAAACGAAAAATTGTAAAACAACTAACTAATAATGAAAAGAAAAATTTATAATGGTCCGAGGCAAAATAAATATTATAAAAGAAAGAATATAAATAGAAAGCTAACAAAATAATTATCAACAGCTAACTAATATTAAAAAGAAAATTTTATTTTGGTCCGATATTCTAATTTTAAATAGTTTATTTTCAAATTTTTGTTAGGTAAAAAAATATTTAAAAAATGATTTCATCAACTGAAATCTCTTCGATGGAATAATCAAAGTTTCACGTATTAATTAGTCCATCAGATTTAAACACATGTAAGTATTTCTATATTAGATAAAAATAAGATAACACAAATTAATTCATTTTTCATATCATGAATTCAAAACAAATGTCAATTATAATAAAAATGTAAAAAGATTACTAATCTTATTTTATTTAGTGATTTGTTATCGGATTTTTATTATTATTCTACTTACTTTTAAAAATGATTATATTATGTTTAATAATTTTCCAGGATTTATTTCAAAAAAATTAAAATAAACCCGCATATACACGGGATCTAATCTAGTCTTCTATATATGTAACACATTCAATCTAAGTTGGTAATATATCTTTCTTAAATTTAGATTATATATAAAAATATATTTAAAATAAATCTTGGATTACTCTCTTACTTATTTCCCATATTTGTAAAACTAGCTATTCCCACACCGACCGCCCAAATAGCATCCAACGAGAATTTGAATATACATTTTACGAATAGAAGAAAAGAGTAGTGTCTACAAGTACAAATATAAGATTCTTTTCACAAATTCAACTGTTAGATGCTGAAAATATTTTTGAAAGCATAAAATGTTAAGCTTTTTAGTAATCACTTTTTAGGAATTTATTGGGAGATGAATTTATAAAAAAATTTAAAATTTCAAGAATTTATTGTTTTTGGTAAATAAATTTTAACAATCATACTAAAATTTATTGTTATTGGTTTGATGATTTTTAAATTTCAGTCAACATCCACTGATATTCAAAAAGTTTTTGTTTTAATAATTTAATAAATGCTACACATAATGTTTTCCAAGGGTAGGTTTCATATATAGGTCTTTAAGGTAATTGATCTCTATATCCATATAGGTAACTTTATGGATTTTGGTTTGATAAAGGGTTAGATCTTTCCGGGTTCGGCTATAGCTTTAGAATACCAAAGTATACCCAAAATATTTTGGTTATAGTTTATATTCGGCTATTTCGGTTATCTATAACTCAAAAATCCAAAAATATACAAAACAAATACCCGAACATTCGAAAAAATATTTCGGTACCCGTTCAATTCGGGTATTATCCAATATCCACAAGTATTAAATATTTAGTTATCTACCTAATGAGTGATCTATTATACCCAAAATTAATTGGGTACGAGTATTTTGGGTTAGCATAATTCGGGTTTTTGGGTATAGGTTAAAAGTTTTAGGCCCACCGCAAACATTTTACTAAATTTGATTTTAGAGAAAATAAGGAGTAATATACATATATATTTTGACCGAGTATATTGGGTCAATACAATTTGGGTTTTTGGGTATAAGTTAAAACTCTTAGGCTTATATTTCCATCGAGTATTTGAGAAAATAAGTACCAATATACATTCATTTATATTTCCATCGAGTATTTTGGGTTTGTACAATTCGGGTTTTTGGGTATAGATTAAAAGTCGTAGGCCTATAGCAAACATTTTACGAAAATTTGATTTTAGAAAAAAATAAAGAGTAATATACATTTATATTTCGACCACAAGTTAACATATCTGAAAAAATAAAAGAGACAAAATGTTTACAAAATTCAAATAACAATTAAAATACAAGTAACAGAACTTTATGATAGTCATAACCCGCGCATCGCGCGGGCTTAGCCCTAGTAACTCTAAAATCACTTAAAATCCACCCTTTAAAATAATTCCAATATCACTGCATTTGAAAATATATTTTAAAATCACTAGTTCAATAACACTAGATTTTAAAAGAGTTTTTAAAATTCACATTTGAATAATAGGGGATCTGTAATTTAATATAAATCATCTTGAATCACTTAAAATACGAAGTTTCATTTCATTTTTTTCTTAGTATTTTTTTTATGTTATATCAACTTTTTGAATAATATTCAATTTCATCACGTTTTATGTCGATTTAGATCTAAATTATGTTCTGATTTCAGAAAAAAAATCTGTTGGTTGAATTTAATCAATTTTTCTTCTTAAAGTAAAGTTTATTAATATTGCTTATGTTTTTAATAATATTACTTATATGATTATATGATTTCAAGCATATACTTATACATTTATTTGATTACATGATTTCATCTCTGGATCACATGGATCACGACAACAGCATGCATTTTTAGGTGATTCAGGTTCACACCAGTGTTGAACATAATCGTACTTTCGACAAAATTGCTCGCAACTTTTATCTACACATGGTTCTCTGGAAGGGAAACATTCTTGAGACATTTTGATCTCATATCCTATTTATTAATAAAAAAAAAGTTATTAAACCAATATGTATATTAATTGAAAAGACAAATTCATGTATAATTTTCAAATAGTGGTATAAGAAGAAACCAATACCTGGAGTACCAACGGTTGTTGTATGACAATGAGCAAACGATATGATGAAAAGGATCATGAAAACTGATTTAATTAAAATATTCATGCTAAAAACCATTTTATGATATGCTTTTTTAACTTTCTTGATGAATTTTCTTTATTTAGATTGGTTATATATATAGTAACACAAACATACATAAAAGGTAATTTTCATGGTCAAATTTAATAAACAACTTAGCGAAAAGAAGTTGTAAAGTAATAATTTTCAATTTATTTCTTTATAGATTTCTAGTCAAAATAAAACAATATATATCTTGACAAAAAAGTAACAGACACACATATAGAATAATTTTCTTACATAATTACCTTAAATATTGTAGACTAGTTATATATATATAGAGAGAGAGAGAATCCGCACGTTTGATATGACCTTGTGGTTTTGTGTTTTCAAATTAGTTATTTAATTTGCTTAAATCAAAAGAAAATGTTTTCACAATAAAAAAGGAAAACAAAAGGCATGGATATTGCTGTTGCATAATAACGAGAAAGTTGCAGGATATAATTATATGTATGGTCAATACTTTAATGGTTTATATAGGTAATGGATGTCAATTAAGGTCACTAGTGTGTCTCCCCAAACTACACAAAGACAAATTTAGGTAAGTATTCGCCAATAATGAAAATAATATTGAAATTCATAACTTGATTGATAGTCCTTTTTGTTTTGACAACAAATTGATAGTCTTTATGTAATGAATTTTTGCTGTTGTTTGTATCCTTCGTTTTTTGGCTGGCGCTGGTTTTTGGTTGATCATCTGAGGAGACTTTTTGTCTGGGAATTTCTTATAATTTGGTTTCGAACTTAAATTTTGTGTGTATACAGAACCTCAACTTTGTATAGATATGATGTGATATGAAAGTTCTGAAAAATAAAAAATAAATCGTTAACCGTTACTAACCATAGTATACAAAGCCAAGTATTGTCTTCGACAAAGTTTTTAGGCCAAGCAATGCATGCAAATTAAAGAGTTCTTGGAGGTTGAGAACTTACATTTTCATGTATCAAATGGTTAATAAGATCCGAATATCAAGTAAATGTCTAATAAGATCATTAGCTTCCTAGGACTCCTTCACTAGCTGTTGGAAAATGTATTGGTATTGGATATATCTAATTTATCAGACTCTAAAAAGACAATCCTCATCTATCACGTTATCAGTCTAGGATAAGATTAATGTAAGTATGTATCTGTTTTTTTTTTTTTTTTTTTTTTTTTTAACAGAATCTGTGTTTTTTTCTTTCTTATTGTCATCATTATAAAATCTGCTCTTTTCGTAAGATGGTGAAAAAAAAATTGAAAACTATATTAAAATAGATTTGAGTCTCAAATTTTTTATTTCTTAAAAAGATATATGTAACAATCATTTTCATTTGAAATGAAAACTGAGGATTCACAATTTGCAAGTTGTAATATATTTACAGTGGTTCCATGCAAAATAAACTAATATTCAAAAAATAGAAACAAAAATAATAAGTGTTTTGACAGAAATATAAGTTGTACATACAGCTAACCAAATTTAAACGATTAATAAAGGGTAACTATTTTTAAACTGAAAACTCGAGAACGTTACAATTTGGACCCAAGTCAAAACACATTTTATTCTTTCTTATTGTCATCATCATAAAATCTGCTCTTTTCGTAAGATAGTGAAAAAAAATTGAAAACTATATTAAAATAGATTTGAGTCTCAAAAAAATTATTTCTTAAAAAGATATATGTAACAATCATTTTCAAATTAAATGAAAACTGAGGATTCACAAATTTGTGTTTGCAAGTTGTTTAATATATTTACAGCGGTTCCATGCTAAACAAACTAACATTCAGAAGATAGAAACAAAAGTAATAAGTGTTTTGACAGAAATATAAGTTGTACATACAGCTAACCAAATTTAAACGATTAATAAAGGGTAACTATTTTTTAAACTAAAAACTCGAGAACTTTATAATTTGGATCCAAGTCAAAACACATCGAATACTGAGCAGAGCATTTCTTTAAAACGTTTAATAAAGCAGAAAAATAAACAGAAGATAAGGATGATAATGACAGAGTTTAAACTCTAGATCTTTAGTACAAATTATATTTTACGCCAATTTGTTTAGAATGCGTTGTAGACAAATAATTCCTACAAGTGATTATGATGAATCAGTAAATTTTGGATTGGTCTATCGTTGGCGGCTAAGAACATAGGCAGTGGTAGCAATGTAAATAAATCGAAATCGAGGGGTTTCTAATCCCAATCAAGATAAAGCTAAGGGTAAACTCGTAAATTACAAAGAAAGCGAGAGATGCGGGCACGTGAGATGGATTCTCAACCCTCCGATGTAGACACGTGGCACTCCGATCTAAAAATCTCGACCTTATCGGGTCCCACCTTCCAATCGAGCTTATCCACCTTGCGTGAGCTAAGATCCGCGCGCCACGTCGGACCAATTTCAACGGGTCAGATCTTCCCCATCGCCTTTAAATCATCGCTACATTCATGAATCAATGGATCTGTAACACTAACCTGCGCCAAAACTCCATATTCTTAAACAGTTTTGATAACGTGCGCACTAACAAACCCTCCCTCCATGGGCTTACTCGACCATCTCTGGGATGATACCGTCGCTGGTCCGCGGCCGGAGAACGGCCTCGGCAAGCTTCGGAAACACCATACCTTCAGTTTCCGGCCTAGCTCCGGCAATGGTACGCCGTGTTTCGCTATCTTTTGCCGGTGACTCGTTTAACGTGACATGCACTGAAATATTTGAATCGGATCCAATCTCTAAACTGATTAGAACTTAAAAGTAGGATTAAATGGATCAATCGTCGATTACGTTACTGTATCATTTGATTGATTTAATTTTCTTGTGTTCCTGATTTTGGATTAACCGGTTTTGATTAGATCAACCGGACGGTGGAACTCCGAGATCGTACGGTGATGATTCGCCAGAAGACGCCGTGAAAGTAACACGTAGCATCATGATAATAAAACCACCAGGATACCAAGGCGGTTCAGCTCCGGTTTCGCCTGCCGGTTCAACTCCACCGGTGTCTCCTTTCTCTGGTGAGTCTTTAATAAACAGTACACTCACTAAATTCGTTGAAGGGTACTTTTGACATTTTAACTCTCTATTGTGACTTTGTGTTTTGTCGTCGACAAATGAATAATTTAGTTTGTCCCCTTGTTTACGAACCATTATTGATGCATGGATAATGGATTTGTCCATTATGATTTGATACTCTAATTTGATTATTTGTGTGATAATATTGATTATATTGGTTCAGTTGAATTAGGTGAGCAATCTTATCAAATGTTGTCATACAAATATACGATTTGAAGTAAAAAAACAACTCATCATACTTCCAAAAAAAAATTTCCATAAAATTTTATTTTCTTTGTTTTGAGGTATATGGAGTTGTTATTGTTTTGTACTTCTTCATCAAAATTTGCCCACAATGCATGTTTTGGACCATTTTAACTTACCATTTTAAAATAGTTTACCTTGAAAAGCTTGAAAATGAGTCATTTTATATGTTTACTAACGAAAAAGCGACCTCTTTGGGATATTAACGGAGCAAACGCAGGAGGAAAGGAACCCTTTCGGTTTAGGAGACGGTCGACATCGGACGATAAGGCAGCAGCAGGAGTATCTTCAGAGTGTGGACCAAGGAGCTCTCCTCCTTCTTACGGCCTGTGATCTCTAACACAACAAAACTCAACAAAAAAGAGTGAGAAGAAGAAAGAAGAAACAGAGTAACCATGGAAACACACCAAGTGGTCGTTGCTTTTTTGCTTTTGTAGGCCCAAAGAGGTTTCTCTTCTGTGCTAGTGTATAATGAGTACGTTTGTGTTTGCGTTTGTTTTCTTTATGTATATGTAATGCTTCTATGCGTTTGTACATTTTTGGCTACAATGATAATAATAAAACTATGTTGTAGATGCTTAACATCAGTTTCTATCTAAAATCTAAACGCAACATCCAATTCCATTCCAAACGCAGCAGAACATCGCAAGTTTTGGTTCCATGTTACAATGTCTTTTGAAGTGATCACCCGAATATTACATGTTTGTACAAATTATCACCACCGTCAACGTTAGAATAGCTCCTAACCGGATATGGATATCTTGCCACTTCTGCTTTCTCCTCCATGGCCAAAACCTTACCGGAGTTTCGATACCACGGTTCTACGTACGGGCTACAAGAAGAAGACGACGATGATGCATCGACGATAACCGATCCCCAATCCCGTTCCCCGGTTGCTTCGGTTATCCTTTTCCGCACCAAAAGTTTACCAACATCTTGCCTTCTTCTCTGAGTTACACTTCTTAGAATCGATACCGACAATAGTAAGACGAAAACCGCGTCTTCTTCGGGTAAAAACTCCACCGCTTGATGCTTCCAGTCGATCAGAGCCGTTGCTTTCTCTGTTGGATCTTCTTCTGTCGATCTAACCATTGTTACAAAACCATCATCTTCTTCTTCTTCTTCTTCATTGTCTCCTTTATACTGCATTCTCCGTCCGGTTAATAGCTTAACCTATATAAAAACTCGTCAAAAACCGGTTATTAAAAACATCTTGATTCTTGAAAAATCTTACCAGCGAACCGGACGTTCTTGAATTTAAACCGAGTTCCGAGATTGATCCTGACGAGTCCCAACGAATTCGCAATTCGTCTCCGGTCGAAAATTCCCACGCCGCGTCCCAATCCGCCACCGGCTCTTTCGGCGTTACCGTTCCAACCACCTTCGCTGTACAATTGTTTCAAACGCTATGTTTTCGCGTTTGCGTTTACATGTGGAAATGTTTCATAAGCAAAAACAGAGTTTCTCCTTCTTATCATCTTAAGACAAACTTACGTGGAGCTGTACCGATTGAGCCTTCGAGATAAGACCAAGAACCTACTCGTATCTCTGTGATCCGCTCCTCTGATTTCACCGGAGATGGAACTTCACCACCGCGTTTGAACATCCCTTTCCCAACTCTAATTAAAACCAAAACCAGAATTCAGAACAAACATTGATTCCGGTTCGGTTTAGTAAGGAAGAAAGATAGCCCGGTTTACCTGATTCGGATAACGAAGCATTCCCGTCCAGAGTGATCAAGAACGGTTCGAGTAAGCCATCTTCCTTCTTGAGGGCTGAAGTTGTTCGTTCTTTGAATCGAATCAGATACCATATCACCCGAATCATCGGTAACCCGATCCGGTACAAATCTCAGCAAGTACGGCGCTTGAACCGGGGGAGTAACCGAAGCAAACACACTTACTTGCTTCCCAAGTAACCTACCGGACGCTAGAGAATGCGCTCTCAGCAAATCATTCCACGGAAACGCTATCACCGCTTCCGCTTTTCCGCTTCCAAAGCAAATCCCGCGACCGCGACTGCGGTCACAATGTGATTCAAGAACTACACCTTGTGTTCCAAACTCACAGTAAAGATGCCAAACTCTCTGCCACGACGACGACGCATCGAGAGACAAATCAGTCATTTTCTTTTCAAGTTGAAGCTTCCTGTGACCTCTACCAACTCTCAAACGAAGAAAACTCCGATCCATCGCCTCGTTTACATTCATCCTTATAAATATACATAACTGCAAAGAAAACAGATTCATCTCAGAGTCTCTTAAGTACGCCTGGGCATTTTTACCCGGACCTAAAATACCGAACCGAACCCGGCGAGATATAGATGGAACCAAACTGGACCGAAACCGATACAAAATCCGAATGATTCCTAAATTCCTATACCCAAAAGAACCGAAACCGAACCGAGAATCGAAAAAGTATTCGAAATATTCAAAATATAATTATATACAAAAAAATATTAGTTATATATAGATTTAAAGTAACTAAAATATGTAAAACTACAATTATAAACCTAATATAATAGTTACATTTCTTTCAACTAAAATATTCAAGAAATCCAAAAAAGTTTAGTTATATTTGTTAGTATTCAATATTTTAAGCTAAATTTAACATAATTTTATTTAAATTAAGCAATTTTTTTTTTGTAATTAAAGTTTGGATGCCCGGGACCGACCTGAACCAGAATCGAACTCGACCCAAAACCCGAAAATTAAAAATACTTGAATTTGTTTAAAATTTATAGAACCGAAAGACCCAAAACCTGAAAGAAACTGATCTGAACCCGACCGAAAAATAACCGGGTCTACTCTTAAGCTTCATTATCTCAAAAGAAAAGAAACTTAAAACACTTACTTCCAATACAAATCTTGGTCGAACGGACTTATAAGCGGTGGTGTTCACGTCTATATCTGAAACCGGCCAATAAAACGCAGCGTTTTTGCCGGATAATTCGCCGCCAGCTTTCTCATACGGTTGATTGAAGTATCTGTTCCAAAGTTTCTTTGTTGTCTCCACTTGGCTCTTGTCTACATTTTCTCCGTTTCTCACCACTTTCTCCGTGATCTCTTCCATCATTTCGTCAACATCGTCCGCGTATGTCGTCGGGTAGCTCTGATGTGTGAGCCACATGAGGAGAATATCCGAAGCTGGAAGAAGACGAGAGATCTCTTCTTGGAACTTGTTTAGTATTAGCAAGAAGGCTTTGTAACGTAGCCGAGCCGCGATCAAGTAAACCGTTTCCGACATGTACGGAGCTGAAAACTTCTCCCAGAGAAACATCTGTTTCTCTACTTCAGTTGTAATAATAACTATATCTTCTTCTTCTTCTTCATTAGATGATGAAAGAGAGTCAGGATCGGCTCTGTTCTCGAAACTCTCCTCTGGGTATCTCGTAATCCAGAGCTTCTCGCACTGTAAAACCGCGTAATCCTCGTTCTCTTCGTCGTAAATCGCCGGTTTACCGATTAGTTTTGAGAATCTCTTGAGACAGTAATCTCTGTAACTTACCTAAGATCAGATCAAACTCGAAAAAAATTCAGATCAAAAACAGAGACTCTGTTTTGAAAGAGAAGGTAATCACAATCAAAAAGCTTACTGGGTTTAAAGAATGACAAAACCAAACCCATTCAACATCAAGAGGAGGTAGAATCATCGTTGGCTTCGAATTAACCGTTAGATCAGAAATCAACGGCATCCAGAGCTCGTCGTACCTTTAAAATCCACATTTAATGCCAACAACAATCAAAAGTCCAGATTTTTGAAGGGGACCAAAGTATGTATATTCGAGAGTTACTAAAAATAGTATCTTTGATCGTCTGATCAAAAAATTTCAGACCTTCTGATAGCTTCGGCAATGACGGGTGGGTGATGAAGCCATTGAGAGTCTCCGACGGATCTCAATAGAGCGATGAGGCGTCTGGCGGCGGAGACGATATCAGCTCCGATTCTCACGGCGTCGACCTCTGAGATCTCGCTCAGACTCCGTGCTGCTAAGCCGTCGGCGAATTCCGATGATCCCAGCGACATAAGTCGAGAGAGAGAGAGAGAGAGATTGAGTATCAGAGAGAGCAAGGTAGTATCGGAATCGGAAGACAAGACATGGGATTTGAGGTTTCTTTTGTCGAATGAAGAGACAGAGATGTGAAAAGAATAAAGTAGAGTCCAAAGTGACCAAACAATAATTTGTTTTTAATTTATTGATAAAAAGGTGAGAAACAATTACGTTTATCAACCATTTTTCCATTTTTAATTTTATGAGTAATGTTTGTTGTCCATTATTAAAAATAAATATATGAAAAACCGAATCATGTCGAGACACAAACCACCAAATGCAGATGACAAAGCCAAAACCTGAAATACATTTTTTTTTTTGTATAAGAAAAGTTGGTAAGCTGTTGTGCTTTCTTGGTTATACCACTCACTAGACACACTTGTGGTTCTATATGATTAGATAGAGATTACTCCCTTCATTTTTTTTAAGATAATTTTTCTGAACATTTTTTGTTATTTTACAAAGATAATTTTTTTAGTTTTTTGAAGTACTTTTTCAGTTTTCAAGAAATAATAATTGGAATTGTTAGAGTTTTATTGGTCAAAATTTATAGAAAGTTACTCTCTCCATTTTCTTAAGATGAATTTTCAAGAATTTTCACACATATTAAGAAAAAGTTGATTTTCAATCATTAGTGTATAGATTTTGGCAATAAAACAACTTTCTATAAATTTAGACTAATAAAAATCTAACAAACCCAATTATTATTTCTTGAAAACTGAAAAAATACTTCAAAAAGCTAAAATTTGTATCTTTGTAAAACAATAAAAAATGTCTAGAAAATTCATCTTAAAAAACCGGAGAGAGTATTTTATTGCCAAAAGCTATACACTAATGATTGAAAATCAACATTTTCTTAATATGTGTGAAAACTCTAGAAAATTCATTTTAAAAAAACGGAGGGAGTATATGTTTTTCTTGTTTTTGACGAAAGCTATCAAATTATTATGATGTCTCGCAAAATGATATTTTGAGTAAAGTTTCTTCTCACTTTTGATATATTGTTGAGTAAAGTTCTATATCTTGATTAGGCATGCGACATCGACTGATCGGATTAGGTGATGAGATCTTCCCAAGGATGGGGCACTCTAGAGTTGAGGTTGGATAGATTTTGGCTAGAAGCCGTGATGATGGAAGGAGTTGAATGGTTGAATGGTTTGATTCAGAGATTGTGGAAAGATTTCTAAAACACCAACCTAAAAACTCGCTAGATATTACACACTAGGAGTGAACATGACTCGCTATAGATTCATTGGATATTACACACCAAGAGTGAATAGGGTTCTACATAATGAAGACATATTTCTCTCTGAGTCTATAGCGAGTCATATTGGTGTGTAACCCTAGGGGATATTGCAGTCTCTTGCTGAGGACGAAACTTGACCTTCCTTGATGTCTTTTGGGCTGAATCCAACTCCATGGGCTTCTCTGATGGATCAAGATTGTAGAATGAGTCGGTTTGTAGCTTAATTCATTATGGCCTGGTCAGAATCCTTCATTGAATGTACACATGTCCGAATCAAGTAAATCGGAAATGACCCATCTTGTAAATTGAATAACTCCTTCGGTTCAACTCCGTTTGAACTGATTCTTGTTCGAGGTGTTCTGTAATTGAGCTGAGCATATTCTCCAACCGGTTTCATTTGTGGAATCGTCGTGGTTGTGAAGATAAGATTCGATCAGTGAACACACGTCCTTCCTTGCTTCTGCCCATAATCATATCATTAGGTTTGGGTAGGATCTGATTGGGTCAACATCTATCGGGTAGCTGATCTTTGTATCCATATAGGTTGATTTCGGTTAAGTATAGGTTCAAATCTCTTTAGGTTTTACGTTTAGGATACCAAAATTTACCTAAAATGTTTCGGTTACCATTCGGTTGGAGTGATACTGGGTCCATTATACCTGAAATGTATCCAAGATAACCAAAATTAACCAAAACATATAAAACATATTAATACAAAAATCTGTTTCATAGTCCAAATGCAAACGATTTCAATCCAATTCAAAGTACTTTCAAACAGAAATGTTGTCACCAAATGACATTTAAAGTTCAAAGTTCAAACCGAAAACAAAAGTTAAAGTTTTAAAAGATAAGAGGATAAGTTTCAAAAAGCAAGAAGACAAACCAAACATGCATTTGTCTTAAGAAGTTCAACTTCATACTTTAATGTCCAAGACATCATTCGCAGCTCTTGTCGCAGACCAAAGAATCTACTATCTAGTATCTAAAGTCCTAAGCGTGAACAAAGAATAAGTCAATAACCAATAACAAGTGTAAATCTCTTTGTTCTAAACGTTGTTACCTCATTATTGTGATCCTCGTAGATTGAATTCAGCTTCAAACTCTAAAAAAAAAAAAAAAAGAGATCATTAGATTATTAATCAAAGTTTGAAAATCAATTTAAAAAGGAGTTATGGGTGAAGAAATTGCCTCACATAAGATCATCTTGCAAGTTGCAACTCCACATCAGAAAGCATTTGTTCAATTGTTGAGAGCCATTTTTCATTGAAATGGATTTCACATTTCAACCATTTCAGATCATGTAATGTGTCAAACATCTCTTATTTGGTCTATCATTCTCCCACTAATTAAACACAAACTTTGATGCGACTGAAGACACTTGAATTGCTAGTATATGTCTCTAGCTAATAGAGAGAGGATAGGAATCTTAAGACTAACTCATCCACCAAGACAAGATATCATATTATGTGCCTTTTATAAGCTTTGGATTCTCCAAGTTCTCTTTCAAGTATAAATCTACCTCATTCAAAGATTCTTCAATTCCAGATTGTTGCACAAGCTCTTCAAAAAGGTTATCCATTCTCTCATAGCCGACACGGTTAGCCATAGTCCTTTTGCTGAAAACTTCACATCTAAGTTGATCTTGAGAGTGAGTAGACGATACTCTTCGTGTTTGGGGAAATGTTTCCAAACCCATGATCTTGTACTCTTCTTCTTCTTAGTCACTTAAGGTCCAGAACCACTCCCACTAGTTTTCTCTTTTCCCTTGCCTTTGTTTCGAGATGATGGTGGTGGTATTGGTGTCGTTTGAACATCTTCCTCATATTCTCTTTGACTAACATTGTCTTCATCCATTTCATGAGAGTCACAAGAAGCCATTTGCATCATAATTTGAGAAATGAAAATAGTCAAGAGTCAATCAAGGAACGAAGAAGCAAGCAAGAAATGAATAAAAACCGAAAGTAAGAAAGCAAGTGAGAGAACGAAGAATCAAAGAAGGAATTAAAAAAAGCAGAAAAATTAGTAAGCAACCAACGCTGAATCGAATCAATCAATCAAAGAAGTAGAGAAGTACCAATGTAGTCTCTAGTTCCTCTCAAACACACTATAATTGTCACTACTGCTATTGTATTAGAATAGAGTAAATCCATCAAACTCGACTGTGTGTCTTCACAAGCTCAAGATGACGACATCATGGACTACCGACCAGATCAGTTAACCACACACTCATGCACATTGCGGTGAATATACATTTATGATTATTATTTCAGTTAAACCGATTTTATTACCAAGACAGAATATTTCTTACATGATGTCTAATAGTTTCATACTTCATATTGATAATTCAACGGGAGATCACGAATATGCTTGACTGGAGATATTCATTTCATGGTTAAGGGGTTACGAATATGCTTTAGAGGAGATCCTTTAATCACGTTATATTAATGCTCATTGCTTGACTAGCTTATTGTGATCTGATCTGATTTTCTGGGAAGAGAAAATTCTCTTCAAATCGAAACGTCCATAACATTTTATGGTCAAATAGATATAGAACTAAATAGAGGAGTTTAATTTATTTATGGTCAAATAGATATAGAAGTAAATAGAAATAACAGTTCTCAAACTCTAAAACGAACCTATCAATTGTGAAAAAAGTGATAAATTCCCTCAGCATCTTAACTTAATTTGATTCAGTCATAAGAAATCAGTATTAGCATGGTTAAACCATCATGGGGAATTACTTAATTGATTTAATCAAAAACAAAAAACGGCAAACATAAGAAAAACGTCAAAGGCTCCCTCAGACAATAACTTGAACATCAAATAAGATTTTATCAGATATACATTAGCAATAATTTTTGATCATCACAGGGAACAAGAACAAGATTCAATTTAGATTTTCAAAAACATAATAAATTTATGGAATTCAGGGTTAAAGGGCTCAGAATAATGTTAGAAAACAGTTCTTTTCCTTGACCACAAAGGCCTCATAATGAGCTGGGATAATGTTATCATCATCGCCCCATAAAACCCTAATCAAAACACACAAAATTAAAAAAAAAAAAAAAAAAAACTAATCAAATTCGAATCAGTTAAAAAATCTAAAAAATTGGGATTTGTATGGCTCAGATAAATGTATATGAACATAATTCTACTCCTTGACCACAAAGGCCTCATAGAGCTGGGATTATATGTTATCATCATAACCATAAAAAAAAAAAAAAAAACACAAAATTGAATAATAACACAAAAAGATTCAGAAGCTAAACTGTTATAACATCGTGACGCACATAGCATCAATCAGATCAAGTGTTGGATTAGATTAATTGCTTCATCATTATCCAATTTTCCAAAAAAAAAAACAAGATCACTCAGTGGTGGCTAGTGATTTTAGGTTCGATTCTGCCAGCAATTCTCTTCAGATTAAATCAGAAGAGGGAGCTATATATCCTCATCATGATCTCCAAAAACATGTATAAAGCGATTTGAGATTTGAAAAATCGGATCAAAAACACGGAAAACAAACAGAGAATTTAGGGGAAAGAGAAAGGCTCAGTTCAGCGGGATTATCGACACAGAAACGAATCTTCCGATTAAGGAAGAAATCGCCTAATTCCGGTCTGTTGAGCTTGAAAATTTCCGAGTCGTCACTGCCAATCGCCATTAGAGACAAGCTAATAAACTAAAAAAAAAGTAAACATCGAGAAGAAAGTGTAGAGAGAAAACAGACGAAAATTTTGATGAAGCATAGAAGAAGTTTAGATGCGATTGATGAGACTTTCGGCGATTTCTGAGTACTTATAGCGAAGGTAGGTTAGGGTTTTTGCTTTCTCTTCGTTTGAGGCCCATTTTCCTCCGGCCTGTCTCTGGTTTAAATTCGGTTCGATTTAATTTGGGTTTTTTTTTTTAATGATCGGTTTGATTTGGTTCGGTTTGGCTTGGAACTTATGGGGGATATTTGACATTTCATTGGATTCCAATACGGATGATCAAAGTGATGGGCTTAAAGGAATCTCCAAAGGAAACCTTAAATCCTCAAATTTAAGGTTTTATGTTTGTTATTTGCATTATAGTCCTTAAAACTGTGTAATTCTTAACTATTGCTACTAAACATATATTTTTAATAATTATAGGTCTTTTGGTTTTTTTCATTTTTTTTTTGTCATATCAGAGTTCGTACATAACAAACGCTTTCAACTTTCAAACCAAAAAGAAAGAGGAAAAAGAGTTGTAAGATTTGTCTAACATGATGAATGATAAAAAAGCCTCTTTACTTTATGGCATTGAAAATTGTTTTTTAACATGATTACTATAGAGAGATGGCTGCCAAAAAAAAAAAAAAACTATAGAGAGATCATAAGATACATATTTCAGATTAAATTCTGATTCAAAGCTCCTTTTAGTGCTAGTATTTTAAACTGAATTCAAGAGTTCCTTTTGTAACGAGACAAATTGTGTAATATGCAAAATAAAATAAAAATAATTAAAGGCTAAATTACTTATTTTGTAACGACATAGATTGTGAACTATAAGAATCTATAACACGCTGACGAAAGAAAAAAGACCATCACACAGAGCTTATGTTTTAGGAGTTACTAGCGAGGTTCGATAACTGAAACTGTGATCTCGGCTCTCGTCCAAGATTCGTTGGCCGGCTGTCCAGTGGATGAAGAGCCAACCTCGAATGTCCCAAAGCCACGAGCGCAATAACCTGGGGGTTTAGGCTGAGGCATGGCTGCGTTGCTTTCGAGCATAACAACAACCACTGGCATCGTTGGTCTGTCCTCAGGACGTCCTTGAACACACAAGAGACCGATCTGTAAGCATTCTTTAATTTCTTCTTGTATATCAGAAATGGACATTTCGTCTCCAATGCGCGGATCAACTATCTCTTGCCAGGTTCCTTCTTCCCAGCTCCTCCAAGCCTGTTCAAAACAAAACAATTAGTTGTTTTCGTTTAAAGAAAGAAAAAAAAAAAGAAAAGCCTTCAAAGATGATTAACTAACATAGCTCAGAAGGCTTGTGTCTCCGTTCGAGTTTGTGAATCTCGAGTTTTTCTTGCCACTTAATATTTCCAGAAGCAAAACTCCAAAACTGAACACATCCGACTTCACTGAGTATGTCCCGCCCGTCGTGTACTCAGGGGCCATATAGCCGCTGCGTCACAAAACATTTAAAATCATTATTTCTGTTGACTTTTATTCCAAGTTAGGGTTTTAACTCTCGATGTCAAAAACAATTTTAACATGTACATGTTTTCAATAGCACTTACAATGTTCCCACCACCCTTGTTGTGTTAGCTTCAATCTCCTCTCTTCCAACTAGTCGAGCCATCCCGAAGTCTGAAATCTTCGGGATCATATCTTTATCAAGCAAGATGTTGCTCGCTTTCAGGTCTCTGTGGATGATTCTTGAATGTGAATCATGATGAAGGTACTGTAGTCCACGTGCAATTCCATTGATAATCTTGCATCTGATATGCCAATCAAGCTTAGAGCTTTGGGTATTGCCTACGAATAACAAATGGGATTAAACTTACTTGCTTTCTCGAAGAACATTTATGTAAGCTTTAGATGTAAAGCAAGCAGTGACACTAACCGAAGAGATAAGAATCGAGGCTTAGGTTCTCCAAATACTCGTATATCAATAAATGCTCTTCCGCGTTGATGCAATACCCGAGGATACGAACAAGATTTATGTGTCGAACTTTTGAGATCAAAACGACCTCGTTTCTGAACTCATCTGTACCCTGATCAGTACCCTGAGATAGTCTCTTCACCGCTATGTTTCTTCCGTCAAGTAATGTCCCCTGCTATCACTCATTTCATAAGTTACAAGTATATATATTGTATGCCGATTACAGTACACACTAGTATTATAGTAACAATTTTAATACATACAAGGTGTTAGTGTTATGTAGTTAACAAATTTTAAATAGAATTTTCTATTTAGAAAGCTAAATTGTTGTACAAAAATTATATATATGGTGGTAAGATATATAATTTGGAGTGCTAAGAATTTATAATTATTTATGGAAAACTTTATACAAATAATTAAGATAAGAAAAGTATAATTTTTTTTTTGTTTTTCGTCAATAGCTTGAGTATTTTATTAAAAGTTTATAAAGAGCATTTTATTTGTAAATGATTTTGTAATAATTTGAAAGCTATTTTAGTTTGGATTTAGTAAAAAAAAAAATGTAAAGTTTTCTTAAAAGTTTTGCTTAGGCATGCAGATAAGATGTCTGATGATAAGTGCGGAACTATTTCCATAACTAAAAGAAAAGAAAAATTGGGTTTTCTTTCTATGTTTTTCATTCGATAGTATATAACTTTTGTTGACAATACACTATATCTTCAACATTAAATCAATTATATTTTATCAGAAATCTATTTATCGATATTAAAGTATATGTGTCTGATGAATGTATATAATATATATATATATATATATATATAATGTGTTAAAGATTTTTTCAAAATTGGTGTCTACTCCATTATATATGTGAGATCATGTAAAAAGCATCAATTATGAAAGTAAGATGTGTGCTGGAAGAACATTAAGTTTTTATTTATGTGGCCTTTTGACTTGTGCTCTTGAAAATCTGACTTTGTAAATTAGTTTATAATTTTTTTTGTAGGTTATAGGTTGTACAAATCATTGCAGCGCTATCGTTACATTCAGACAAGATGCTATCACATATGATATATTTAGAATAAAGTTATACTGAGAATGTGATCACATAATCATTATTATAAGACATAACAGAGATATTTTTTTTTTTCTTAAACATAACAGTGATTGCGAGTTATAATTATGATCTGTCCGAATAACTCAGTATTTTGGTATGCAGACGGTAGCTTATTGGACACTGTATGCAACCAAAATAATATTTGGTCTATTGATCCAAGAAAATTAACTATCTAATTTAGAAAAGGAGACAAAAGCCCGTTTAGTTTCTGTAGTTTTAACTTTGTATGAATATATATACTGAGTTATTAAGATCATTCATATCTTCTTTTACCTTAATAAATATTATTCATAAACTTGAATTGTTGTCTTGAACTAGATTTACCTTTCTAACTATAAAACATTATATATGTTGATAAAATTTTGTCACACTAATAATTTTTTGTATTAAAACATCAGTTCATAATTTATTTAGGTTTTCTAGATTATGTTTCATGGGCATGCACGTGTGAGACGCGTTACATATGAGACCCATATTATATAAATCTAACACGATTAGCATTTAATTTATTAACGTGTTCATTTATAAATGTTAATAATAATAATGTCTATAACCTATAGGTCAAATAATATTATGGAATTAGACTACAAAACAAAAAGATATTATGGAGATAGATAATAATGTAAAAGAGGATCATATTAATATTGTGATTACTGATTAGATAAGTAAAATTAATATTATCGTCTTATCGATATATATAATACAAAATGATATTGCTTTCCACTTTTTCTTTTTTCTTTTCCATCTAGTGTATGTAGTTGTTATAGCGTTTTATAATTTGTACCTTGTAGACGATACCAAAGCCCCCTTCTCCAAGTTGATTGTCATAAGAAAAGTTGTTGGTGGCCATGAGAATTGTTTGAAACTCCATTTGTTCAAGTGCCGAGTCCTGGTTAGCTCCCAACAAGTCTTTATTGTTTCTTGCCACCACGTTCATTGTCAAATCTGGATTCATCACTTGATGCATTGTTTCCATTCATGGAAAAAAGGTATACATACATTAAACATGGAATCAAAATCCACAAATAAAAATAATCGAAGTAAAAGGTAAGATTATTATTAGTAACATACCGATTGCTCGTGCCCGCTGATGTTTCATCTTCCAAAGCCACAAAAGGAAAAAACTCACAATAACCACAACGGCAACTCCACCAACGATCAGACCTATGAGTAATTTTTTACTTATGCTTCTGTGATCCCCTACAAAATACGAACGAAAAAACAAATAAACAATCTTGTCAAAACATGTTAATGAAGTTTCTTAATCAAGTATTTTCATATAGAACATACCGAGATCATTAGCCGCCAGTCTAATATAAAGATGTTGACCACCGACGGAGAAAGTCCGTAAATCAACTAGCTCCCCTGTCCACATCAGACAACCGGGCCCACTGTTCCGCGTATCCATATAAGAAAACGCAGTGCAGTTGCAATTTTTAAGGCACTTGGCTCTACATTCTTTGATTCCAATTTTCCTGTCCACCATCACCGCTTTTGTATCCGGTAACTTCATGTTCTTCAGCTGGCGAAACCCATCACCATCGCAGCTCAACGGAGTCTTCCTTTCGCAATGACTATCACTGGTTAAGGACGAATGGCCTTTTTTGTCAAACCCTTCCATACACCGACACGCCGGCGTTAGCACTGATATATCCACGTCCGTGTCGCAGTAGCTGTCAGGGTAACATGAATCGTACATATCACACTGGTCAACGGGTTCGTCCCATGACGAGATCCAGGCTTGTGTTTCTCGAGACCACCACAATTGTCGTAACATTCCGTCGGAGAACATGCGGAGTTTGGCTAAAACCTTGTCCTCCGTAACTCTGAACGAGTAAGTTACTGATTCGTTTGTCGTCGCGAAGGTGAACAAGGTTTTATTTGATTGTGGATTTGTTGGTACGCCGCTGCTACCAATTCCATTAAATGAGTCGCTTCTGTGATGCGGTTCTGAGTCAACATACCAAATGAACCTCTGGGGCAGGGCGTCGTGAGTGCTAATTCCATATATAAAACCTCCGCTGGATGGATCATCATCGCTTTTCCATGACGTCAGCTGTCTATTGAGGCCGGTTTTATTATCCCAACCAAGTTTCATATCCGGGAGTAGAGTATCGGTTACTCTGCCACAAGAACTCATCCGGGTTGTTGGTGTCGTTATTGGAGTACCTCACCACAAAATTTCCGTTAGCGAGAAGCTCTGCAACCACTGGAGATGCAGGAGAACGGATGGTTACATTAGTTGACCAGATAGGGTTACCAAAATGATTGAGGAGGACAAGGTTGGCTTCGGAGAATTTTAGGACTCCTGTAGAGTTGAGCAAGGGCTTGTCCCTGTTCGCAATCCATACATAATCTCTCTTCATGATGGACTTGTACCACATGCCGAGGTACCAACTACCGGCATCATCATTTCTTGAGGCGAGTTTGAAGAAACCAAGCTCGAAGACATTATTGATAGAGACTAACGTTCGGTTGTTTGAAGGTGTGAGAATATCTGTGGGTGAGAAAGTATTATCAAAGATCGATGATACAAAGGGAAGAAGAAATAAACAAGAAAATAAAAACAAGGAAGAATGGTGGTAATGCCGGAGAGTTATCATCTCTCTTCACTTTTTAAATCTATTTCTTATTGTTTCCTTCCTCGGCTATTTTTATATTCCGATTGTGGTCCTTTCTGGGATATTTCATCTTTTTTCGTCCCACTTATTGGCATCAAATTACGTCAAGTGATAAAAAATCAACAGTTATTAATAGACCTTCACATCATATGCATGCAACATGATATGGAGACGCCATATGTTATGTTTGGTAGTTTCCATTTTCAGAATGACTAAACAAATAAATGGAAACTAAGTGTATTATTAAATGCTTTGAAAACTATATAACACCATAAATAGACACGTAAAACACGATTGTTGTTTGAAACTAGTTTACTAGTATAGGTTTTGAAAGTTGGGGGCCACGTTAACTAAAAAACCAAAGTCCAAATCTAACTAGTTTTACTTGACCCATCGGTTTCAGTTTTATCCATGCTAATAATAAAATAAACGCTTAGTTTATGTTTGGTTTTCTTAATTTTTGACGCCAAAGGTTTTTCTATTGGAAAGTCATATGAACATTTAAGAAAATTAAACCAGTTTTTAACATTTGAAAGCAGAAAATTCCAAAACATTTATTTGGCGGGAACTTTGTGGAATAAATTGTTGTAGAGGTTGAAGATTTTGTGGAATAAATATTTACAAAATTTATTTCATCTAAGTTTATTATTAAATGCTTCTAGACAAGAAGATATTATGTACCTTATAAATTGTACTTTGAAATTTTTTCTTTGTTTGTTAAAGATTGTACTTTGAAAACAGAGCCTTGCCTACACTTTTTAATGCCGTAGGCAAAACATAAAACTATATTTTAGTGTTCAAATATTATTATACACTACAAAAATATAGTTTAATATTTCTAACGATTTTCTTACAAAAATACATATTTATTTTGTGAATAATATGCATTAAGTTTATACAAAATTCTATCATAGAAAATGTGGTATTGTATATAATAATTTATATATTTTGAAATTTTAACAAAAATAAAGTACATGTGGAAATAAAATAGAAAAAAGAGTTTGTAAAAATAAATTGAAAGATAAGAGTCACTAGAGTGAAAAGTGAAAAGAAAAATGTGAGCATGAAAAATAAAGAAAGAAGATTAACTAACTTTAAAAACAGAGATTAACTTTGAGATGTATTTAAAATGGGAGAAGAAATTATTGTAAGGCCTAAACATAAACTCTATGTAATAAAATATTCATGAATGATAAATATGCCTTCTTAATAGTTTTACAAAATTTAATGCCGTAGGCCAATGCTTCAATTTGTAAGCCATAGGCACGGTGTAACACCCGCGAACCAGAATTCTAAAAAAGGCCGAAAGAATAGGTTCGGGAAGACAGTTTTGGCCGAGGAAAATGGAAGAATCCGACTGTACTGAGAGTTTTGAGCTGAAACGACTAAGTGTCGAGGTAGTTGAGCTCGAACAGTCAGCTGGCCGAGCTAGCTGAACTTGTCCGAACGGATTGGTCGAGATTCGGACAAGTATGGTCGTGTTCGGATAGGACGATTATTCCTGACGGAGCGGAAATAATTTTGGCCGAGAGTTATTAAGTTTGGCCGATGCACGTATATGGAATTACGCGGGAACAGTTATCGGGTTTGGCCGGGACGCGCAGAAGGAAAATGCGCGGGAACGGTTATTCCCTTGTTCGCGAGCGCTGAAGAATGAATTAGGCGGGAATGGTTATGGCCGAGAGAGCCAAAACGGGCGCATTTCATTTATCCGATGGTTATGGACTTGACCGCGGATTAAAACAATCGAGAGAAGGGATTTCTCATGCATTCAGTCAGTCGGTTAGACGGAGGGATGTTCTATCGAGAGAGAACAGAAAAGGATCGGGGAAAGAGATCCGTTACCGATGAATACTGTGAGGGAACCGAGAGAAACTGATCGGGAGGATCCACCCAAGAGTTTGTCCGGGAGAGGAAGACAATCTGTCCAGGAGAGGAAGACATCCTGTTCAAGAGAGAAAGCGGTTACTGAGTGGAAAACACTGTTCTATCGAGACAGAACGATCGGATCATGTTATGATCGATCGATGGTGATTTCTGAACGATCGGATCAGGGTATGATCGATCGACGGTATGTTCTGGTCGAACGGGTCAGGGATTGACCGAGAGACGAAGAGTCCAGACCGAGCGGATCAGTCCGGAGGATTGATCCAAATGTTCGAGAAACGGTTATCTCGCACCGTGGGCAAGAATCCGTCGACTGTGGTCAAGTATCCGTCACTGCGATCATGGGATGATCGAGTGGGAATACAGAGAGAATCGTGAACCTATGGAAAAGAGAAAGGAGAGTGCGGATCAGAGAGAGTTCGTATGCACCTGGATTGGACCGAGGGAGAGTGGATAACCTCGCCTTACTGAGAGCCTGAAGGCCACCTCCGATCTATACTTAGTCAGTGGGGATGGTTGGTTGAATGACTGAGTAAGATCGCGGGTGGTGGATCGGTGGACGTACAGCCGAACTGTTTGGACTGAACCGGAACGTGAATCATTGGTGGACCGAGATCGGCAGAATGGCCAAGGTATGATCATAAATCCGTACTGGAGTTCTATTTACTGCCTAGATCTAAGGTAGGATGGTCTAGGGGAATGGAACCGAATACAGAAGTCCTTAGTTGGATTTAGATTAAGGCAATAGGGTCGAAGACCGTATAGTCTGTCTGCTTCGTGTTGTGTTTAGAAATGGCTTTTAGCCAAGAGGTTTAGTCGGGGATAAAGGGCCGAATCGGAGACCCTGCGACCGCGGCTAAGGAAAACCGGGTCGGGGTGTTTCACACGGCTCTAATTGAAAACTATAACACCATAACAAGTATAGACATGTAAAACATGGTTTGTTGTTTGAAATTAGTAAAGTAGAGATGATAGGTTCTGAAATTTCGGGGCCACGTTAACTAAAAAACCCATGTCCAAATCTAACTATTTTTACTTAACTATGCTAATAATAAAATAAATGCTTAATATATGTTTGATTTTCTTAATTTTTGAGGCCTCTCGCCGCGGCTGAGAAATTGTGTTCCTTCCCCTCTCTCTTCCGATGACGAAAAAAAGAAGAAGCCACATGGGCTTATTTTTCCCTCTTATGTCTAACTTCTCTCGTGTTGCTGCCTCCTGTTTCCTCCTCTATATCAAAGGTAAAACAAAGCCCTCTCCCTCATGCTGATGGTCTCTCTTAGCTGATGTGGAAATTCAAGGTAGCATTTTGATATACCTCTATTTTACATGCTTTTTATACTATTTTAGTATTGTTTTCTAATGGTTTTTGGCAGGTTTTCTATCTAAAAAGGTAGTTTTACTGTGTTTATAGTGTCTAGAGTCTAAACAGGTGAAATGATGCATTTTGGAGCAAAACCATAGGATTTGCACTTCAAGCCGCTCCATGCACAAGCATCAACTTTAAGAGGGCCCAGAAAAAGATCTACTCAATGGATTTCATCAAGACCAGTTCCCTGCGTGCTCTGATTGAGTTAACTTTCCAACGCAACTGGAATGGCCTATTTGGATGAGTAGAAAAGGAGTTACAACCAAAAGAGTGAAGACTGTCCAGACGGCTCTATCGAGAATCAGCGCCCAAACCGCGCAGTCCGGCTGGCCGAGGAACGAACGTTCCGCTCGGCCAGAATCTCATCCGTCCGTCTGAAGTCTCGGCCAAAGTCCAAAACCGTTCGGCCGAACGCATCACGACCCGGGAAACTAAGTCCCGCGGTCGGCCACGCCACAACCGCTCACGCCAATGCCGCGCACGACCATGCCGCGCGAGCCGGGAAACAAAGCCTCGCGGCCGCGCAACCTGTCTCGCGTACCACGGCCGATGCGCCGTCCGAGCCGGGAACTACGTCCCGCGTCCGGCCGAGAATTCATCGGCCAATCTTCATCCGTCCGACCACAGCGGCCGACCACGCATCCGTCCGGCCACGACCGTTCCGATCGTACTAGGAGCGGCCATGACCCGATCATCCGGCCGATCGTCCCGACCGACCGTCCGAACGCCGCGGTCGACCCGAAGCCCGTTTTGAAGCCCGTTTCACATATTTTCAAGGCCCGGCTTAACCCTAAGCCGCCTCTAAAGACCTAGCACTATATATATAGCTTTTTAGCCTCTTGTGAAAAGAGAGCCGCCCTTGTATTTCGATTTCCTACTCTAAGTTTTATTGCAATCATGTTTTCTTCATCTCTATGTGTGTTTGCTTTGATCATGTCTGAGTAATCCACTAGTTAGGTTGCTAGGGTTACTATTCAATGAGTTGCTTGCATGATCTTTGATTTCGATGATTAGCTAGGGATTATATAGAGTCTTTGTCTCGTCTTGTGCACTTAACTAATGCTGATTGCTTTACCGCGCATCTAGTAATCCGATCTTAGGTTGATTTGAGCCTCGACAGTGTTGTATCATTCGCCGGACATATTCTTTGACAAGCTAGGTTTCTTAGACTGCGAAAGTTGATCTACTATAATCTAGTGAACTGTATCAGAACCTATTCATTCTAAAGCTTGATTTAATCACCTAGGGACATACCAAAAGTTTAGCGACTAGGTAGATTAACAAAGGAGCCGGAGCCTCGAAAGTGGAATGGTTTTATATTCGTGATCTGTGTTCTAGACGGTTCTTAATATCCCAACATCCCTAATCAATTCATCTATCATTGTTTCATTGATCATTGCTTGCTTCTCTGCGATTAGCCCCTATGACCTAGCGCTTTCTCCTTATTGATTTACAACCTCGTTATACTTGCTAGTTCGGTTCACCATTACAACCTCAATCATACTTTTGTTTTAGCTTGATCCAAAATCCATAGTTTCAAAGTGTACTCAATAGCCAGTCCTTGTGTTCGATACCCATACTTCCGCGATCTGTGCACTTGCAGAGGTCTAGAGTTTGGTAAAACCTGACTCCACATCACGCTTCACCTCTGGTCTTTGTTGAAACTTCTCTGATTATGGCTGAAGTGGCCATTTTGAGAAACAATTCATCCTATATATATATTAAAACCAAAAAAAATTTCATCCTATATATATATTTTGCGTAGAATATTAGAGAACTGAAGAGTACAAGACACCACACAATGATCAAAAGAGTTGATTAGTAGCCACATACCCCGTTTTGGAGCGTATTTAGAAACATATGTTTAACCCTCAAATGCTAATCGGATTTCCAGAGCGATCCCTTTGGGGCAAGTTTTTTTTTTCTAATTTCGAACACCATGAATCTGCTAGGATTGTGGTTGTTTTCGATCCGAGTGTCACTGTGACAATCTACCAAGTGTTTGCTCAAATGGTCACTTGTGCTTTTTTTTATACTAGCAGATAATACTAATATAACAATATCTTTTGTTTACGGCTTTAGTAAAGTGGAGGAGACGCAAACTTTGTGGGAGGTCTTGCTCATTTGAATGCTTCAACACCGGTTTCTAGATTCCCCTAGGCTGTTGTTGGGGACTAGCCAGATCGTAAAAACTGCTCATGACTCAAATAATCATGAGTTTGATGTGGACATCTCTGGAATGAAGAGTTTCAACTTGGCCATTCAAGACGCAGATCTTTTGGAGGGTCAATGTAATGGTTTAACTTTCTATTGGTGGAATAATCAAGAGGCAAATTGTAACACCCGTATTCCAAGGATTAAATTTGATTCGACCAAATGATGGAGAAAATGTATCCAAAGTGTTAGATGGTTGAGAGAAAACTGTTAAATCTGAATGTATCTATGATATTGAACTGTATCGACTGAATGATCGAAGGAGTTGAGCTGGATAAGTTTCACTTTTTTTTGGTACGTGAGAGGGGACAAACGTCCCCTTTATATTATTCAAAACCAATTTACAAGTTTACAAACCGAGCTGAAGAGCCATTAGCGTCCTCCATCAACAACACCGAAGTTACAGTGGGTGACGAGGTAAATAAATGAAAACCAAGAGATAGAGAGAAAGCATAATCCGCAAGCTCGTCGGCGACCCGATTCGCCTCTCTGTATGTGTGCATGATTCGGACTATCCAATCCCTAGAGAAAAAGTCATAGCACAGACGTGCTAGGAAAGATAGAGGGTGGGAATCATTGATCCCTGAGTGGAGAATCTTCACCACAATCTCTGAATCCACCTCTATTATAAGTCGTGGGACACGTTGCTCCCAAAACCGTAGTAGACTCCCCAAAGTTCTGCTATGGCGCCGAGCAAATGCCAATGTTAAGTGCGAAGCCACATACCCAACTGCCATTCTCATCACGCAAGACTCCCCCAGCTGAAGCCAATCCTTGGTTTCCTCGCGACTGAAACAACTAATACTTTTTTTTAATAAATAAATAAAAACTAATCAATTCTAGCGAAGGTCTTTAAAATAAATTAAATAAATAATAAACAAATAACAATATCAATTTAGTTCAGTGGAAGCAAACAAATAATTAAACGAGTCTAACAACTTAAACAAGTTCAAATGAAAAAAAACAAAACAATAAATCCTATCATCCCCTCTTCAGCCTTGATTCCGCGATCACATGAACCTTTTACCTGCAACACATTGGAATGGAGTTGCGTAAGTATTTAATAAATACTTAGTGAGGCAATCATCTGCCTACAGGCCATTACGCAATTTACTAGCAATTAAAATAACATAATAATTATTATTATAAACCTCAATAATTATTAAAACTTCAATTCTTAATTATTAAATAATTCTCATAATTAAATAATAATTTTACATATTTAAAATAATTTATTTAAATTATTTTAAACCAATTAATTAAATCCGAAATTAAACTAATTCAATTCCATTAAACCAATTAAATTCAATTAAACTAAGATAAACCAATTAAATCAATTAAATTCATTTAAACCGGATTAATTCACACAAACACTCAATTCACCACAAAAACAATCAAAATACCTTGAAATAACAATTAAACACATAAACTCATCAAGAACAACCACAAACCAAATCTAATCTAGCAAATCGCGGACCCACAGTCATGCACTCACCTTGACAATGAAATAAACTGAAGGAAAGAAGAAAGACGATGAACAGTGCCGAATCGCGACGATGAACACTACCGATGAACAATACTTGATGAACAGTACCCGATGAACAGTACTCCGATGAACAGTAACGAAAATTCTGCTCCAGAATCTCCACTTTTCTCCTATCCTGCCTCTGAACTCGAAAACTGTGCAAAACTAGGCGGCTGCTCTCTTTTATTCCTGCGAATTAGGGCTTTTCCCTTAAACCAGCATAAACCGGATAACTTAAATTAAACCGACAAAATTCTGAATTTTTGGTTTATGGATGTTACAACTCTTCCCCACTAAACTCGAATCCCAACACAAAACGTCACAAAGACCGCAAACCCGACCTCGCAAGGCCACAACACTGGAGATCCTCACCTGATCCCCGAGACTCACATCTAATCTTATGTTATACGCCCGTCTCTAGCCATCTTTACTCCTAACTCATCACCTCAAACCACTTGTACTGGGGCCACTACACCCAGACAAGTCTGCACCTACCCAAACTGGGGCCACTACACCCAGGGGCTTGCCAACCACTGCTTATACTGGGGCCACTACACCCAAATAAGTCAGCCACGACTTATACTGAGGCCACTACACTTAGCTAAGTCACTCATACTGAGGCCACTACACTCAGATGAGTCTGCCAGAGAACCACTATCTCCAAAACCGTAATGAGTTATTCAGGATCGCAATCCTTAGAGTAAAAATTCCAAGACGTCTATAACAATAGAATTAGAACTGTCTCACGACCAACTTAAACAACACAAGACAAAATGAGGAAAACTGCATCTCATTAAAACTCCAAAATGTATATCGTTACAACCAAAACGAAAATACAAGTACAAAGCTCAAAAGCTAAAACAACTGAGGCTACAAAATGAAAGAAGCTCACTCCTCGACCTGCTTGTCGAACCACTTCCTGAACTTCAACTTCATCTTTGCCTCTGGCTCCCAAGTCTCCTCTGTAGAACCACTGCAATCCCACAAAATCCTCAGTAAGGGAATCCTCTTGTTCCTCAGAACCTTTTCCCTCCTCTCTAAAATCCTCACAGGCACTGCCGGCACTGTCAAATCTGGCTAAGATCCTCTGGAATCCTAGCCACTAACTCCTCTGTAGGGTGAAGACACTTCCTCAGCATCGACACATGAAAAACCTTGTGAAAGGCTCTCATAATCTCAGGCAACTCCAGCCTGTAAGCCAATGGCCCAACTCGCTCCACTACTGGAAACGGACCCATAAAACGCGGACTCAGCTTGTTCTCTGCTATGGATCTGTTAGGACCCCTCAACATAGCCATCTTGAGATAAACTCTATCTCCAACCTGAAACTCAAGCTCTCGTCTGCGTCTATCTGCATAACTCTTCTGCCTATCCTGAGCCTCCTTCATGTTCAGCCTCACAACACGGACCTTCTCTGTAGTCTCCTGAACATAAGTAGCTCCATACATGCTGCGCTCCCCCACTTGGGTCCAGCATAGGGGTGTCCTACATGGCCTCCCATACAAAGCCTCAAATGGAGCCATGCCAATACTCGCCTGAAAGCTGTTGTTGTATGCAAACTCAACTAAGCTCAGGTGATCTGCCCAATGGCCACCCCAATCCAACACACACATCCTCAGCAAATCCTCCAAAGTCTGAATAGTCCTCTCTGACTGACCATCTGTCTGCGGATGATAAGCTGTACTCAAATGCACCTTAGTGCCCATCTCTGCCTGAAAAGCTCTCCAAAACTCTGAAGTGAATCTGGGATCACGGTCTGACACAATACTAGCTGGCACTCCATGCAGCCTCACAATCTCTCGCACAAACTTCCTAGCCAAACAGCAGCTCCATCTGTCTTCTTGATGGCCAAGAAATGTGCAGACTTAGTCAACCGATCCACAATCACCCAATAGCATCGAAAGTCCTCGAAACAGGTAGTCCAACCACGAAATCCATCGTAATCCTGTCCCACTTCCACTCTGGAATGGGTAAACTCTGCAAAAGACCACCCGGAACCTGATGCTCTGCCTTCACCAAGGCACAAGTGTTGCACTTCGCAACCCAATCTGCTACATCCCTCTTCATCCCGACCCAATGATAGTACCTCTTGAGGTCATGGTACATCTTGGTCGCTCCCTGGATGAATGGAAAACTTGCTCGCATGAGCCTCTCCCAAAATCTGATGTCTCAACTCCACATCCTTAGGCACACAAACTCGCCCACGAACCAAGATAGTCCCATTCGCAGAGACCTCATACTCAGAACCAGTCACTCTCGTCGCATCCAGCAAACTCTGATCACTCTGCTGAGCAACTCTGATCCTGCTAAGTAGATCCGCCTGATCCACTGCCTCTAAACCCAAAGGCTCCTGCGAAATGGCACACAAACGCAAGGTACTGATCTCGCCAACCAGAGACTCCACATCTCGCTCAACTGCGGAATCATACCTCCGTCTACTCAACGCGTCCGCCACTAGGTTAGCCTTGCCCGGATGGTAGTTAATGCTCACCTGATAGTCCGCCAAGAACTCAACCCAGCGCGTCTGTCTCGCGTTCATCATCGGCTGAGTGAAGATATGCTGTAAACTCTTGTGATCTGTGAAGACCTGTACTGTCTCACCTAGCAAGTAAGACCTCCAAATCTTCAACGCGAAGATCACTGCTCCCAACTCTAAGTCATGTGTAGGACGGTTACGCTCACTGCCCTGCCACTGTCTCGAAGCATATGCTATCACTCTGCCCTCCTGCATCAGCACACAACCAAGACCAATGCCTGAAGCATCTGTATACACCATGTAAGGCTTCCCTGGCTCGGGTAACGCCAACACTGGTGTAGTAGTCAACATCTCCTTGAGCTGACTAAAGCTCTCCTCACACTCAGCTGACCAAAAAAACGGGACATCCTTCCCGGTCAACTTCGTCATCGGCTGCGACCATGGTAGCAAACCCCTTGACGAACCTCCTGTAGTATCCTGCCAAACCCAGAAAACTCCTGATCTCTGTGGCACTACTAGGTCTAGGCCAATCTCTGATAGCCTCGCTGTGCAGAAACAATGTGGCCAAGAAATCCCATCTCTCGCTGCCAGAAACTGCACTTGCTCAACTTAGCAAAAAGCTTCTGCTCCCGAAGCTTCTCCAGAACCAACCTCAAGTGAGTCGCATGCTCCTCCTGACTCCTCGAGTATACCAGAATATCGTCAATGAAAATGATGACAAACACGTCCAAATACTCCCTGAACACGTCGTTCATCAATCTCATGAAGGCTGCCGGCGCGTTAGTCAAACCAAAGGCATATCACCACAAACTCAAAATGCCCATAACGCGTCCTGAAAGCAGTCTTCCTGACATCTGCCTCATCTATCGGGATCTGATGATAACCCGACGCCAAGTCAATCTTGGAGAACCAAGTAGCACCCCTCAACTGATCCAACAACTCATCAATCCTCGGGAGTGGGTACCTGTTCTTCACAGTGACTCGGTTAAGACCTCTGTAATCGATACAAAGTCTGAAACTCCCATCCTTCTTCTTCACAAACAACACCGGTGCTCCCCACGGTGAAACACTCGGTCGAATGAACCCCTTAGACAAAAGGTCCTCTATCTGCTTCTTCAGCTCTGCCAACTCAGCTGGCGCCATCCTGTAAGGCGTCTTCGATATCGGTGCTGTCCCCGGCTCTAACTCAATCGTGAAAGGATCAGACCGAGATGGTGGTAATCCCTTCAATGACTGAAAGACATCCTCAAAATCCTGGACAACCTCAATATCTCCCATAACAACTCCAGCTCCTGACTCAGACATAGAAATCGTCGCCAGATACGCCTCACAGCCCCGCTCTAACAACTGCTCGCCTGAATAGCAGATATCACAATACTCCCGGAAGTCGGTCTCACTCCCTGATAAACCAACCTCCTGCATCTCGCTCGAAGACTACTCTGCCTCTGTAGCAATCCAGATGAACTCTGTAGTGCGACAACCAGTCCATCCCGAGAATAACATCATACAGCTCCACCGGACTGATGACCAAATCTGCTGGCATTGACTGCCCCGCAATCTCGATCTCGACTCCTCTAGCACGGCCCAAAGTAGACAAGAATCCACCTCCCGCCACCTTGACCATGCCCGCGCTCTCGCCAGCGCTACTCCGGATGCCACTCTTCTCGGCACGCTCCGGTGTAATGAAGCAATTCGATGCTCCAGAGTCGAATAAAACGTGGGACTCAAACCGCCCACTAACAAGGTCCCTACACATTCAATGCGTTGAGAACCTCCACAATTCTATCACAGATAAAAATGACTAATAGACAAAACAACAACAAAAATTCTACACTAAGAATTTACAAAGTCTGAGTCGAAGATTTACCTGTGATATGCCCGCCGGTCTCCACCGAAGAATAGCCCCGCGGTGCCGATTCAGTCTGACCCGCTGGCTGCACCGCTGCAATCTGACTCACCGGCTGAATCAATGCCACTGCCATCCTTTGCAACTGGGGACACGCCGGTCTGAGATGACCCGACTGCCTGCAATGATAACACACCCTGGCATCCTGAACCGCGTCTCTCCTAGGATAGCTCGCCATACGGTGCTCCGTACTCCCACAACGGTAACAAGCACCTCGAGTACCCTGACTACCTACAGAGCTCTCATCTCGACTCCTCTTCTGATCCTGTGCAGGCAACCCGCCCCTGCCAGAACCAGAACTGAAACTCGCACCACCTTTGCGCTGCTGCTGCTGACTCCGAGGCTGGATAGCCGGAGCAACAACATGCGGCACAGCTACCGGTCTAACTGACCCACTGATCGCGTGATCAGGTCTTCCCCTTTCCTATCCCTGATTCTGCAAGTGCACAGGTCAGAAGTAGCAAACGGGTATCGAACACGAGGACCAGATTGCACACTACAAGCTATAAGTTCGAGATCGAGCTAGGGCAAAAGTATAGGTTTTGTTGAGTGCAGTGAAAGTAAAGCATGCAAGTAATAAAGAAAGTGAGATCAATAGGAGAAGAGGGCTAAGCAATAGGATAGTCTTAAGATAAACAATTCATGAAGCATGAAATCAATCAATTAGGGTTACTGCAATTAGGTGTCAATCTAGAACTTGAAACACTATGGTATGATCATTCCACTGTCGAGGCTCCGACCCCTTTGTTAATCTACCTAGTCGCTAAACTTTTGGTATGTCCCTAGGTGATTAAATCAAGCATTAGTTCGATTAAGTTCAATTGTTCACAACCTACAAGTAAATCAACTGTCGCAGTCTAAAAGAGGTTGCCCACCAAATACTAGTTCAGGCGAATGATACAACACTGTCGAGGCCCAAATCAACCCAAGTTCATATGCTAATTGGCTAGATTAACAACAAGCATTAAGTATAAGCAAAGATGGAGATTATAAGTAAAACCCTAATTGTGATCAATCATCAAACATACATGAATGGAGTTGCGTAAGTATTTAATAAATACTTAGTGATGCAATCATTCTGCCTACAGGCAAATTACGCAATTTACTAGCAATTAAAATAACATAATAATTATTATTATAAACCTCAATAATTATTAAAACTTCAATTCTTAATTATTAAGTAATTCTCATAATTAAATAATAATTTTACATATTTAAAATAATTTAGTTTAAATTATTTTAAACCAATTAATTAAATCCGAAATTAAACTAATTCAATTCCATTAAACCAATTAAATTCAATTAAACTAAGATAAACCAATTAAATCAATTAAATTCATTTAAACCGGATTAATTCACACAAACACTCAATTCACCACAAAAACAATCAAAATACCTTGAAATAACAATCAAACACATAAACTCATCAAGAACAACCACAAACCAAATCAAATCTAGCAAATCGCGGACCCACAGTCATGCACTCACCTTGACAATGAAATAAAACTGAATGAAAGAAGAAAGACGATGAACAGTGCCGAATCGCGACGATGAACACTACCGATGAACAATACTTGATGAACAGTACCCGATGAACAGTACTCCGATGAACAGTAACGAAATTCTGCTCCAGAATCTCCACTTTTCTCCTATCCTGCCTCTGAACTCGAAAACTGTGCAAAACTAGGCGGCTGCTCTCTTTTATTCCTGCGAATTAGGGCTTTTCCCTTAAACCAGCATAAACCGGATAACTTAAATTAAACCGACAAAATTCTGAATTTTTGGTTTATGGATGTTACAACTCTTCCCCACTAAACTCGAATCCCAACACAAAACTTCACAAAGACCGCAAACCCGACCTCGCAAGGCCACAACACTGGAGATCCTCACCTGATCCCCGAGACTCACATCTAATCTTATGTTATACGCCCGTCTCTAGCCATCTTTACTCCTAACTCATCACCTCAAACCACTTGTACTGGGGCCACTACACCCAGACTAGTCTGCACCTACCCAAACTGGGGCCACTACACCTAGGGGCTTGCCAACCACTGCTTATACTGGGGCCACTACACCCAAATAAGTCAGCCACGACTTATACTGAGGCCAATACACTTAGCTAAGTCACTCATACTGAGGCCACTACACTCAGATGAGTCTGCCAGAGAACCACTATCTCCAAAACCGTAATGAGTTATTCAGGATCGCAATCCTTAGAGTAAAAATTCCAAGACGTCTATAACAATAGAATTACAAATGTCTCACGACCAACTGGTCAAACACTTGTAACATCCGAATACCATTATACAACACAAGGCAAAATGAGGAAATACTGCATCTCATTAAAACTCCAAAATGTATATCGTTACACCAACGAAAATACAAGTACAAAGCTCAAAAGCTAAAACAACTGAGGCTACAAAAATGAAATAAGCTCACTCTCGACCTGCTTGTCGAACCACTTCCTGAACTTCAACTTCATCTTTGCCTCTGGCTCCCAAGTCTCCTCTGTAGAACCACTGCAATCCCACAAAATCCTCAGTAAGGGAATCCTCTTGTTCCTCAGAACCTTTTCCCTCCTCTCTAAAATCCTCACAGGCACAACTGCACTGTCAAATCTGGCTAAGATCCTCTGGAATCCTAGCCACTAACTCCTCTGTAGGGTGAAGACACTTCCTCAGCATCGACACATGAAAAACCTTGTGAAAGGCTCTCATAATCTCAGGCAACTCCAGCCTGTAAGCCAATGGCCAACTCGCTCCACTACTGGAAACGGACCCATAAACGCGGACTCAGCTTGTTCTCTGCTATGGATCTGTTAGGACCCCTCAACATAGCCATCTTGAGATAAACTCTATCTCCAACCTGAAACTCAAGCTCTCGTCTGCGTCTATCTGCATAACTCTTCTGCCTATCCTGAGCCTCCTTCATGTTCAGCCTCACAACACGGACCTTCTCTGTAGTCTCCTGAACATAAGTAGCTCCATACATGCTGCGCTCCCCCACTTGGGTCCAGCATAGGGGTGTCCTACATGGCCTCCCATACAAAGCCTCAAATGGAGCCATGCCAATACTCGCCTGAAAGCTGTTGTTGTATGCAAACTCAACTAAGCTCAGGTGATCTGCCCAATGGCCACCCCAATCCAACACACACATCCTCAGCAAATCCTCCAAAGTCTGAATAGTCCTCTCTGACTGACCATCTGTCTGCGGATGATAAGCTGTACTCAAATGCACCTTAGTGCCCATCTCTGCCTGAAAAGCTCTCCAAAACTCTGAAGTGAATCTGGGATCACGGTCTGACACAATACTAGCTGGCACTCCATGCAGCCTCACAATCTCTCGCACAAACTTCCTAGCCAAAACAGCAGCTCCATCTGTCTTCTTGATGGCCAAGAAATGTGCAGACTTAGTCAACCGATCCACAATCACCCAGATAGCATCGAAAGTCCTCGAAACAGGTAGTCCAACCACGAAATCCATCGTAATCCTGTCCCACTTCCACTCTGGAATGGGTAAACTCTGCAAAAGACCACCCGGAACCTGATGCTCTGCCTTCACCAAGGCACAAGTGTTGCACTTCGCAACCCAATCTGCTACATCCCTCTTCATCCCGACCCAATGATAGTACCTCTTGAGGTCATGGTACATCTTGGTCGCCCCTGGATGAATGGAAAACTTGCTCGCATGAGCCTCTCCCAAAATCTGATGTCTCAACTCCACATCCTTAGGCACACAAACTCGCCCACGAACCAAGATAGTCCCATTCGCAGAGACCTCATACTCAGAACCAGTCACTCTCGTCGCATCCAGCAAACTCTGATCACTCTGCTGAGCAACTCTGATCCTGCTAAGTAGATCCGCCTGATCCACTGCCTCTAAACCCAAAGGCTCCTGCGAAATGGCACACAAACGCAAGGTACTGATCTCGCCAACCAGAGACTCCACATCTCGCTCAACTGCGGAATCATACCTCCGTCTACTCAACGCGTCCGCCACTAGGTTAGCCTTGCCCGGATGGTAGTTAATGCACCTGATAGTCCGCCAAGAACTCAACCCAGCGCGTCTGTCTCGCGTTCATCATCGGCTGAGTGAAGATATGCTGCAAACTCTTGTGATCTGTAAGACCTGTACTGTCTCACCTAGCAAGTAAGACCTCCAAATCTTCAACGCAAGATCACTGCTCCCAACTCTAAGTCATGTGTAGGACGGTTACGCTCACTGCCCTGCCACTGTCTCGAAGCATATGCTATCACTCTGCCCTCCTGCATCAGCACACAACCAAGACCAATGCCTGAAGCATCTGTATACACCATGTAAGGCTTCCCTGGCTCGGGTAACGCCAACACTGGTGTAGTAGTCAACATCTCCTTGAGCTGACTAAAGCTCTCCTCACACTCAGCTGACCAAAAAAACGGGACATCCTTCCCAATCAACTTCGTCATCGGCTGCGCCATGGTAGCAAACCCCTTGACGAACCTCCTGTAGTATCCTGCCAAACCCAGAAAACTCCTGATCTCTGTGGCACTACTAGGTCTAGGCCAATCTCTGATAGCCTCAATCTTAGCCGGATCCACAGAAACTCCCTCTGCAGAAACAATGTGGCCAAGAAATCCCATCTCTCGCTGCCAGAAACTGCACTTGCTCAACTTAGCAAAAAGCTTCTGCTCCCGAAGCTTTCCCAGAACCAACCTCAAGTGAGTCGCATGCTCCTCCTGACTCCTCGAGTATACCAGAATATCATCAATGAAAATGATGACGAACACATCCAAATACTCCCTGAACACGTCGTTCATCAATCTCATGAAGGCTGCCGGCGCGTTAGTCAAACCGAAAGGCATAACCACAAACTCAAAATGCCCATAACGCGTCCTGAAAGCAGTCTTCCTGACATCTGCCTCATCTATCGGGATCTGATGATAACCCGATGCCAAGTCAATCTTGGAGAACCAAGTAGCACCCCTCAACTGATCCAACAACTCATCAATCCTCGGGAGTGGGTACCTGTTCTTCACAGTGACTCGGATACAAAGTCTGAAACGTCCCATCCTTCTTCTTCACAAACAACACTGGTGCTCCCCACGGTGAAACACTCGGTCGAATGAACCCCTTAGACAAAAGGTCCTCTATCTGCTTCTTCAGCTCTGCCAACTCTGTTGACGCCATCCTGTAAGGCGTATTCGATATCGGTGCTGTCCCCGGCTTTAACTCAATCGTGAAAGGATCAGACCGAGATGGTGGTAATCCCTTCAATGACTGAAAGACATCCTCAAAATCCTGGACAAACTCAATATCTCCCATAACAACTCCAGCTCCTGACTCAAACATAGAAATCGTCGCCAGATACGCCTCACAGCCCCGCTCTAACAAGTGCTCCGCCTGAATAGCCGATATCACAATACTCCCGGAAGTCGGTCTCACTCCCTAATAAACCAACCTCGCTGCATCTCGCTCGAAGACTACTCTGCCTCTGTAGCAATCCAGATGAACTCTGTAGTGCGACAACTAGTCCATCCCGAGAATAACATCATACAGCTCCACCGGACTGATGACCAAATCTGCTGGCATCGACTGCCCGAATCTCGATCTCGATTCCTCTAGCATGGCCCAAAGTAGACAAGAATTCGCCTCCCGCCACCTTGATCATGCCCGCGCTCTCGCCAGCGCTACTCCGGATGCCACTCTTCTCCGCACGTTCCGGTGTAATGAAGCAACTCGATGCTCCAGAGTCGAGTAAAACATGGGACTCGAAACCGCCCACTAACAAGGTCCCTACACATTCAAATGCATTGACAACCTTCACAATTCTATCACAGATAAAACGACTAATAGACGGAAAACAACAACAAAAATTCTACACCAAGAATTTACAAAGTTTGAGTCGAAGATTTACCTGTGATATGCCCGCCGGTCTCCACCGAAGAATAGCCCCGCGGTGCCGATTCAGTCTGACCCGCTGGCTGCACCGCTGCAATCTGACTCACCGGCTGAATCAATGCCACTGCCATCCTTTGCAACTGGGGACACGCCGGTCTGAGATGACCCGACTGCCTGCAATGATAACACACCCTGGCATCCTGAACCGCGTCTCTCCTAGGATAGCTCGCCATACGGTGCTCCGTACTCCCACAACGGTAACAAGCACCTCGAGTACCCTGACTACCTACAGAGCTCTCATCTCGACTCCTCTTCTGATCCTGTGCAGGCAACCCGCCCCTGCCAGAACCAGAACTGAAACTCGCACCACCTTTGCGCTGCTGCTGCTGACTCCGAGGCTGGATAGCCGGAGCAACAACATGCGGCACAGCTACCGGTCTAACTGACCCACTGATCGCGTGATCAGGTCTTCCCCTTTCCTATCCCTGATTCTGCAAGTGCACAGGTCAGAAGTAGTAAACGGGTATCGAACACGAGGACCAGATTGCACACTACAAGCTATAAGTTCGAGATCGAGCTAGGGCAAAAGTATAAGGTTTTGGTTGAGTGCAGTGAAAGTAAAGCATGCAAGTAATAAAGAAAGTGAGATCAATAGGAGAAGAGGGCTAAGCAATAGGATAGTCTTAAGATAAGCAATTCATGAAGCATGAAATCAATCAATTAGGGTTACTGCAATTAGGTGTCAATCTAGAACTTGAAACACTATGGTATGATCATTCCACTGTCGAGGCTCCGACCCCTTTGTTAATCTACCTAGTCGCTAAACTTTTGGTATGTCCCTAGGTGATTAAATCAAGCATTAGTTCGATTAAGTTCAATTGTTCACAACCTACAAGTAAATCAACTGTCGCAGTCTAAAAGAGGTTGCCCACCAAATACTAGTTCAGGCGAATGATACAGCACTGTCGAGGCTCAAATCAACCCAAGTTCATATGCTAATTGGCCAGATTAACAACAAGCATTAAGTATAAGCAAAGATGGAGATTATAAGTAAAACCCTAATTGTGATCAATCATCAAACATACATGAATGGAGTTGCGTAAGTATTTAATAAATACTTAGTGATGCAATCATTCTGCCTACAGGCAAATTACGCAATTTACTAGCAATTAAAATAACATAATAATTATTATTATAAACCTCAATAATTATTAAAACTTCAATTCTTAATTATTAAGTAATTCTCATAATTAAATAATAATTTTACATATTTAAAATAATTTAGTTTAAATTATTTTAAACCAATTAATTAAATCCGAAATTAAACTAATTCAATTCCATTAAACCAATTAAATTCAATTAAACTAAGATAAACCAATTAAATCAATTAAATTCATTTAAACCGGATTAATTCACACAAACACTCAATTCACCACAAAAACAATCAAAATACCTTGAAATAACAATCAAACACATAAACTCATCAAGAACAACCACAAACCAAATCAAATCTAGCAAATCGCGGACCCACAGTCATGCACTCACCTTGACAATGAAATAAAACTGAATGAAAGAAGAAAGACGATGAACAGTGCCGAATCGCGACGATGAACACTACCGATGAACAATACTTGATGAACAGTACCCGATGAACAGTACTCCGATGAACAGTAACGAAATTCTGCTCCAGAATCTCCACTTTTCTCCTATCCTGCCTCTGAACTCGAAAACTGTGCAAAACTAGGCGGCTGCTCTCTTTTATTCCTGCGAATTAGGGCTTTTCCCTTAAACCAGCATAAACCGGATAACTTAAATTAAACCGACAAAATTCTGAATTTTTGGTTTATGGATGTTACAACTCTTCCCCACTAAACTCGAATCCCAACACAAAACTTCACAAAGACCGCAAACCCGACCTCGCAAGGCCACAACACTGGAGATCCTCACCTGATCCCCGAGACTCACATCTAATCTTATGTTATACGCCCGTCTCTAGCCATCTTTACTCCTAACTCATCACCTCAAACCACTTGTACTGGGGCCACTACACCCAGACAAGTCTGCACCTACCCAAACTGGGGCCACTACACCTAGGGGCTTGCCAACCACTGCTTATACTGGGGCCACTACACCCAAATAAGTCAGCCACGACTTATACTGAGGCCAATACACTTAGCTAAGTCACTCATACTGAGGCCACTACACTCAGATGAGTCTGCCAGAGAACCACTATCTCCAAAACCGTAATGAGTTATTCAGGATCGCAATCCTTAGAGTAAAAATTCCAAGACGTCTATAACAATAGAATTAAATGTCTCACGACCAACTGGTCAAACACTTGTAACATCCGAATACCATTATACAACACAAGCAAAATGAGAAAACTGCATCTCATTAAAACTCCAAAATGTATATCGTTACAACCAACGAAAATACAATACCAAAGCCAAAAGCTAAAACAACTAGGCTACAAAGATGAAATAAGCTCACTCCTCGACCTGCTTGTCGAACCACTTCCTGAACTTCAACTTCATCTTTGCCTCTGGCTCCCAAGTCTCCTCTGTAGAACCACTGCAATCCCACAAAATCCTCAGTAAGGGAATCCTCTTGTTCCTCAGAACCTTTTCCCTCCTCTCTAAAATCCTCACAGGCACTGCACTGTCAAATCTGGCCTAAGATCCTCTGGAATCCTAGCCACTAACTCTCTGTAGGGTGAAGACACTTCCTCAACATCGACACATGAAAAACCTTGTGAAAGGCTCTCATAATCTCAGGCAACTCCAGCCTGTATGCCAATGGCCAACTCGCTCCACACTGGAAACGGACCCATACCGCGGACTCAGCTTGTTCTCTGCTATGGATCTGTTAGGACCCTCAACATAGCCATCTTGAGATACACTCTATCTCCAACCTGAAACTCAAGCTCTCGTCTGCTCTATCTGCATAACTCTTCTGCCTATCCTGAGCCTCCTTCATGTTCAGCCTCACAACACGGACCTTCTCTGTCGTCTCCTGAACATAAGTAGCTCCATACATGCTGCGCTCCCCCACTTGGGTCCAAGCATAGGGGTGTCCTACATGGCCTCCCATACAAAGCCTCAAATGGAGCCATGCCAATACTCGCCTGAAAGCTGTTGTTGTATGCAAACTCAACTAAGCTCAGGTGATCTGCCCAATGGCCACCCCAATCCAACACACACATCCTCAGCAAATCCTCCAAAGTCTGAATAGTCCTCTCTGACTGACCATCTGTCTGCGGATGATAAGCTGTACTCAAATGCACCTTAGTGCCCATCTCTGCCTGAAAAGCTCTCCAAAACTCTGAAGTGAATCTGGGATCACGGTCTGACACAATACTAGCTGGCACTCCATGCAGCCTCACAATCTCTCGCACAAACTTCCTAGCCAAAACAGCAGCTCCATCTGTCTTCTTGATGGCCAAGAAATGTGCAGACTTAGTCAACCGATCCACAATCACCCATATAGCATCGAAAGTCCTCGAAACAGGTAGTCCAACCACGAAATCCATCGTAATCCTGTCCCACTTCCACTCTGGAATGGGTAAACTCTGCAAAAGACCACCCGGAACCTGATGCTCTGCCTTCACCAAGGCACAAGTGTTGCACTTCGCAACCCAATCTGCTACATCCCTCTTCATCCCGACCCAATGATAGTACCTCTTGAGGTCATGGTACATCTTGGTCGCCCCTGGATGAATGGAAAACTTGCTCGCATGAGCCTCTCCCAAAATCTGATGTCTCAACTCCACATCCTTAGGCACACAAACTCGCCCACGAACCAAGATAGTCCCATTCGCAGAGACCTCATACTCAGAACCAGTCACTCTCGTCGCATCCAAGCAAACTCTGATCACTCTGCTGAGCAACTCTGATCCTGCTAAGTAGATCCGCCTGATCCACTGCCTCTAAACCCAAAGGCTCCTGCGAAATGGCACACAACGCAAGGTACTGATCTCGCCAACCAGAGACTCCACATCTGCTCAACTGCGGAATCATACCTCCGTCTACTCAACGCGTCCGCCACTAGGTTAGCCTTGCCCGGATGGTAGTTAATGCTCACCTGATAGTCCGCCAAGAACTCAACCCAGCGCGTCTGTCTCGCGTTCATCATCGGCTGAGTGAAGATATGCTGCAAACTCTTGTGATCTGTGAAGACCTGTACTGTCTCACCTAGCAAGTAAGACCTCCAAATCTTCAACGCGAAGATCACTGCTCCCAACTCTAAGTCATGTGTAGGACGGTTACGCTCACTGCCCTGCCACTGTCTCGAAGCATATGCTATCACTCTGCCCTCCTGCATCAGCACACAACCAAGACCAATGCCTGAAGCATCTGTATACACCATGTAAGGCTTCCCTGGCTCGGGTAACGCCAACACTGGTGTAGTAGTCAACATCTCCTTGAGCTGACTAAAGCTCTCCTCACACTCAGCTGACCAAAAAAACGGGACATCCTTCCCGGTCAACTTCGTCATCGGCTGCGCCATGGTAGCAAACCCCTTGACGAACCTCCTGTAGTATCCTGCCAAACCCAGAAAACTCCTGATCTCTGTGGCACTACTAGGTCTAGGCCAATCCTGATAGCCTCGCCTGTGCAGAAACAATGTGGCCAAGAAATCCCATCTCTCGCTGCCAGAAACTGCACTTGCTCAACTTAGCAAAAAGCTTCTGCTCCCGAAGCTTCTCCAGAACCAACCTCAAGTGAGTCGCATGCTCCTCCTGACTCCTCGAGTATACCAGAATATCGTCAATGAAAATGATGACAAACACGTCCAAATACTCCCTGAACACGTCGTTCATCAATCTCATGAAGGCTGCCGGCGCGTTAGTCAACCAAAGGCATATCACCACAAACTCAAAATGCCCATAACGCGTCCTGAAAGCAGTCTTCCTGACATCTGCCTCATCTATCGGGATCTGATGATAACCCGACGCCAAGTCAATCTTGGAGAACCAAGTAGCACCCCTCAACTGATCCAACAACTCATCAATCCTCGGGAGTGGGTACCTGTTCTTCACAGTGACTCGGTTAAGACCTCTGTAATCGATACAAAGTCTGAAACTCCCATCCTTCTTCTTCACAAACAACACCGGTGCTCCCCACGGTGAAACACTCGGTCGAATGAACCCCTTAGACAAAAGGTCCTCTATCTGCTTCTTCAGCTCTGCCAACTCAGCTGGCGCCATCCTGTAAGGCGTCTTCGATATCGGTGCTGTCCCCGGCTCTAACTCAATCGTGAAAGGATCAGACCGAGATGGTGGTAATCCCTTCAGTGACTGAAAGACATCCTCAAAATCCTGGACAACCTCAATATCTCCCATAACAACTCCAGCTCCTGACTCAGACATAGAAATCGTCGCCAGATACGCCTCACAGCCCCGCTCTAACAACTGCTCGGCCTGAATAGCAGATATCACAATACTCCCGGAAGTCGGTCTCACTCCCTGATAAACCAACCTCCGCTGCATCTCGCTCGAAGACCACTCTACCTCTGTAGCAATCCAGATGAACTCTGTAGTGCGACAACCAGTCCATCCCGAGAATAACATCATACAGCTCCACCGGACTGATGACCAAAGTCTGCTGGCATTGACTGCCCCGCAATCTCGATCTCGACTCCTCTAGCACGGCCCAAAGTAGACAAGAATCACCTCCCGCCACCTTGACCATGCCCGCGCTCTCGCCAGCGCTACTCCGGATGCCACTCTTCTCCGCA